ACCAGTCATCTACAGACATAAATTCCATTCTCTAAGGTGAATTTTGCATTCTATCTTCCAACAAGCCCAGAAGGTTCTGCAGCTCTGAACACATGAGAACATATTGTCAACAAACTGTTCCCGTTTCAAGGCCTAAGCTTCCCTTATCGCTTCTACAGGATTCATCATGCCTCTGAATAAAGTGAACACATTTTCAGCTCATATAAGTTAAATAATCATTAAATAATAATATGGTTGAATGTATGAATGTTATATGAATACTATTGAAATGTTTTGATTAATCTGTGCTTAAATTACTGTGGTTGAAATGAATATTATGATGTTATGATCAGTAATGTTTGGTTTAACAAGTGAATCATTATCTACACTCAGACACAATGTTCATTAGAGATAAATTAAAGTTAAAGTAATTTTGGCACATAGATATTTTCTTACCCACAAATCAGAGCATCCCGTATCTGAAAGAATGCGTGATGTTCTGAGGTTTGTTTGTTAACACCCCTCAACATGGCACGTCCCGAAAGGCCAAGTAAATCATAATATGAGAATATTAAAACAGAATAGCTTCTAAGTGATTCAGCATTCTTTGAGATTCAGCATCTTGTTAGTTGAGCTAACTCTGACTGGTCATCGGAGGGAAACTCTGCTCCCACTGCATTTTTAACAAACTGTCAAAAATCTGTTACAAGCTACAGCTGACACAGCTAAACGGTTACTTCAGCTACTCAAACAGCTGTTCTAGATGCAAACGATTTCATCTATCTGTTGTGATCCGGGAGATGACTCTGGACCGACTTGGTTGTACTGCGGTCTTTTCTACGAACTTTGGTACCTTGGGGTCACCCGACCCCCGACATCTCAGATCCGAAAGGGAGTCTCCTCAGAGGTACGTAGAACACAGCAAGATTGTGTCTGATGCCATTTTGATAAGAACCAACTTCATAGTTTAATGCAGACCAAATTATTTTCACACCCAGAACTCAGTTCTTCTAGGTTCTGTGTCCTTCTGTCCCCAGCCTCCTCCTGTTCTCACTCTAGGTTCTCCTCTTGTGTCCCATTGTGTTCCCCAGCCCACTCCAGGTTTCCCCGTAGTCTTTTCAGATTTAGAATGCCCATCCATGTTTGTCTTATGGTTGTCTTGTTTTCAGGTTTTAGGAGTTCACTTATCTGTAGTTTCTCTGTAGATTTATTTTACCTAGTCAGTTTTCCCCACTCAGCTAATTAGTCTCACCTGATCCCTTCACCTCTCACTCCCCATGCACCTGCTGCCTGTTTCCCTGATTGCTCCCCTCTGTGTATATAACCCTGTCTGCGTCACAGTGTTGTGTTGGTTCATTGTAATTGTCAGCGTGTTCTGTCCTCCTCTAGTTAGTGCGCATGAGTGAGCTTCAGTTTGTTCGTTCTACGATTTTGATATTAAGTTGGGTTTGTTTTGTGCCTCTGGACTTTGGTGCATCCGCCTTTAAAATAAAGGAAGTGTTCTCTCAAACCTCTCCTGCCTTGAGTCGTTCTGGGGATTCTGCATCTTGGGTTATAACCTCCTGCTCTCACTGTGATAGATACACGGTTCTGATAAACACACACCATTCAATCACCATACATCACATCCCATCCACTTAAGATTCATCCATCACAGTAGTCTTAGTTAACTTGTCATGTTTTTAATTGTTTGGAAAATTAATGTCTTGCCTTTTATAAACCTGACTCTGTCTGAATTGATACGAAGTGTGATTGATCCCTGAAAAAGCAAAGAATCCTATAGAATCTTCTAATTAAACATTCAAAGACCAATCAGAGTGATACCCTATATTTATACAGAATATCCCCGCTTATTAGTCATAAGTAAAGATAATATATTAAGCTTAAAAGCAAAAATATTTACCCCTCTACAAGTGTTACAGCTGTATTTCACTGAGCTGTACACAAAAACTGCTGTGGAGCCGAAGAAAGTAATTTTCTGCTTAATTATAAACCAGCAGATCATAGTCAAGCTTTTCCTGTTAGTGTAATTAGCATTAATTAAAATCAAGTTGCTGATCCTCATCCAAGATCCCAGCTAATGAAATAAAAATATATAATTGCATCCGCATGCACTCATAGCGGATACTAGATACCATGCACTAAAGATGATTTTAAGTTTTCATTAAAGCTTTGGATGCTTTACGTGATTTGGATTTGCAACAACAGTCTACAAGAGGTTAAACCACAACAAATAAATATCCATATGGCAGTTTATTTAATTTAGCTGTAGGTCCCATAAAATATAAAACTCAGTTGGAATACAAGCTAATTGAATTGATCACAAAAATGTTGCTGGGCATAAATTATAATTTTCTATGTAAGTCATATAAGAAATTATTAGAAATTTTAATTTCCTCCTTGAGGAAAGATTTGGACAAGCTGGATACCCCTCCTCCCAACACACACACACAGACACACAGACACACACACACACCACCCCATTCAAAGATGTAATTACATGAAAAAACCAAATCATGTGTTTGCAGATGGAGCATGTCTGCATTTTACTGTCTGGTTGTTTCATATATTTAGACAAAACAAGAAAAATGTTAAGCGTCCACTAATTATGACCAACTAGGTTATATGTTGTGTTTTTGTATTCATGTATTTATTGTTAAGCATTAAAAGAAAACATGCTAATCATTTAAAGAGCAAGTCACCCTCAAATCAACTTTTTTTGTTGATAATTCAATTCAATTCAATTCAAATTCAATTCAAAAATACTTTATTAATCCCAGAGGGAAATTGATTGCTGTAGTAGCTCAGAATAATAATAATAATAATCAAGTTGTCAAAGAGTTGTTGTATATTAAACTATATAAATGAGTGTCTAATTGCTCTGTAGACAAATGTAGTCAATAATTTGGCACTTTATTTAATCTTAGTTAAAATTTAAATAATCTGCCTGAAACTGTCAGCGATGCACCGTCGTCAGGCAAAAACTCAGCACTGCATTTGAATTTAAATCTGCCATTGCTATTGGCTAAGAGGTACACTATGATGTTAGATTGTACATTATGATGTCACAATGTTGTGTGTGTATTTGTTAGTGGCTCCGCCCTCTCGGTCTGCTAGGCAACAGCATTTGTTGCATTTTTCAAACAGGAAGTGGGAGTTGAGTAAGAATCTGGCAGGGGGTGACTTGCTCTTTAACCAGGCCCTCCAACAGGGTTTTCACACTCTCCACTCAGGTGAAAAACATTAACTTTGGTTTAGAAATATGCACTTAAGAATCAAATAAATCATATTTTTTGTTGCTATTTTGTTGTGCTGTTTTATTAAATACGATTATTCCATCAACACATCATATGGATCTCACAATGGATTCAAATTAGTCTCCAAAACCAGCCGGTGGATAATTTTACCACCAAAGTCTTGCCGGTTCAGATGATGCACATGGTGCACAATGCTACAAGTGAAAACCATGCAAATCAAATAAGGCCGTGGTTGTAACATCAAAACATCGATGCTAGAGATTTAGGAACAGCAACAAAATGATCATATCTGGTTTGTAGAATCATAAGACAACAGTATAGCTGTCAAGATGAAAACCTGCCAAGTTTGTGAAATATCACCAAACTTCCGTTTCATTTAAAATGATAAATTTCCTAACGTGCTTTTCTGAGTCAGAGGACTCCAACGCACTTTACACTACAGTTATGTCTGACAGTGATGAGCTACACTGTAGCCACAGCTGTCCTGGGGCACACTGACAGAAGCAAGGCTGCCATACACAGGTGCCTCTCTGACCACCAACAGCAGACCAAAAGGGTGAAGTGTCTTGCCCAAGGATAAAATGACTGACTAGGTTCAAACTAGGTCAAACTCCTAACCCTTAGCCACTGTCACTCCAATCATTAATACATTTTATAAAGAACAAAACAAACAAATAGTGTTTATTAGACACTGATGAAACAAGCTTAGATGTTTGTAACCAGCAGATATTTTACATTCTCATCTACCATGTGTCACATCATAAAAAATAAAAAGGTTTGGGTGGAAAAGAATGTTTCCAGTATGTTTGTATGAACACCTGTTTGGTTGCAATAAACTGTGATTCAAACAATAACAATATCTTTATGAATAATAATGCATTATTCAATAGAAAAATTTAAAACAAAAGGAGCGAGTAACACTTTCACAAACTGTTTTCTCCAAGTTGAAACCTTTAAGGACTTGTTTTACACCTGCCTCCTGCTTGTAACACACAGAGAGAAGTCAACACTTTAATCAGATCAAATTTAACAACATGAGTTTGCAGCAAAACACTTTAAAAAAACTTGTTGGCAGATCTTACAAACCAACTTGTTCTTCTCTGGTCATAAATCCAGACTTCAAACCCGGATTTCTGAGAACCACCAGAAACAGAGATAACTTTGGTGGGTTTCCTTTCATAAACGTGTCATGCCATGAGCCTCAGGGCTGTTCATGTGATTTTCTTCTTTTAACATTTTTCTCACCCTCAGTCGGTTCTTATTATTGGGTGGGTGGGGGGCGGGTGCAACCCGCCTAAAAGACATTGAATGCTTTTTGAAAATGGTTTTAACATCACATCCCAAATCAAACATGTGTTTCAGTATCAATAATTCCTGTTTTTGTCACTGAATTCATTATTTCCGTATTTGGATTATGCTATTTGCTCCAGAATCAATAAAAATGTGATAAAGTAATAGAAATGTAAAACCAATTTCTTTGGAGGCTAGGGAGAAGAGTCAGGACCCCTCTGCTTCTGGAGGACGATGGATGGATGGATGGATGGAACTAATTCTTGAAGTGAAAAGTTCTAGCGAACATGCTATTTTTTCTACTTTTTTATAATTTACGCATGCTTTACGCACTTTACGCATGTTTAGGCTGTACAGAAAAAAAACGAGAAGGAAACAGAGCTAAAATGCGAACATAACACTTAAAGTCTCAGTTTGATCCTTTAAACCTGAGAATTTTTTACAGTGCAGCGCTATTTATTATCTTATCCAAATAAAAATTGCACCAGCTCTGTGATGGCGAAAAGCCTTCATAAACTTTTGAGCGCACCATGGAGCTGCAGGTTATTTAAACACCTGTAGAGAATTTACTCCAAATGTCTACTGAAAACCTCAAGGTGTCACACTCCGAGGCACCAAGAACAGAGAAGCAGCTCCTGGAGGGTTTTACGCAGCTCCTGGCTCCGGTACGCGTAAATGAGAGGATCGATGAGGGAGTTACAGATGATGAGGATGAGAAAAAGGTTGAAGTTCCGGAAGAAACAGTTGCATAAAGGGTTGGTGGGACACGCCAGGATGAGGATGAGGTGGAGGAAGAAGGGGCCCCAACATATAATGAAGACCCCTAGCAGGATGGTGAGGGTGATCGCTCCCTTCATGCTAGTTGAGTGACGCCTGCCTTTATTGAATGCAGTGATGCGCCGCGAGTGCACGTGCGCCAAAAGAAACATGTGCAGGTACAGCACGGCGTTGAACACCAGGGTGATGCAGAAAAAGGTGACGAGGCACACGATGACCGCGTTGTCTGTGTAATAAACGATGAAGAGGATGCTGGAGGTGACACTGGCCAGCCACACCACCGCGATGATGATTATGGCGCGCCGTGTGGTCATGATGCTGTGGTAGCGCAGCGCGTAAAAGATGGTGACGTAGCGATCCGCGGCAATGGTGCACAGAAAGGAGAGTGAAGACACTACCGAGCTGCAGATCATCACGTCGATTACGTTGTCCAGGTGGCGCAACATGCCGGGGTGCACGTCCAGCAAGCCGTGATCGTTGAGAAGCATGAATAGGGTCTCCACCACGTTGCTGACGCTGACGAGCATGTCGGACACGGCCAGGCAGCAGATGAAGTAGTACATGGGCGAGTGCAGGTTGCGATTCTTGATGATGGCCCAGATCACCATGATGTTTTCCACCAGGCTGATGAGTCCAAGCGCCAGGAAAAGTTCCTGGGGGATGCGGATCTGAACGCAGCCGAACGAGTCTCTCTCCCCTACGGTGGAGTTTGTCTCGTTGTCGTCCAGGTAGTCCCCCAGCGGACTGTAGTCCATGTGGCGGATGGAGGGAAAGTGCTGGGAACTGTTGGCCATGTCCATATTTGAAAAACTGAACAGAGTTCAGATTTCAGTGAGGTATAGAAGTTTCATTAAAGCAGGGGTCCACATCTGGCTCAGCTGTCTCCCAGTCAACGTCCAAACAAGTGTGAAACTCCTCAGTGAGCCAATTGTCCAGAATCCTTTAAACTTTATTTACATGATGTTCATTTGATGTCCCTTTGCTGTGGAAACGTCTAATCAAGATGGACGGGTCCACGTTAAAAACGCGTCTCCTCGTTTGCTGATACGAAGTCCATCAATAATCCATCCTGTTTGTATGGACTTCCCGTTCCGAACCACCAAAACCCTCAAACCGTCCAGAGCAACGCGGTGGCCGAAAACAAACGGAATGCTTGTTGGGTTTGGGGAATTGAGTTTTTTTTTTTTGAGCAACTGAAGAAGATGCTGAGTGACTTCATCAAACTCCTCCTCCTCCTCCTCCAGCGCAGATCCATTGGACTTTGGTCCTGTCTCAGCGTGTTTTTTAAATGTATTTATTTATTTATTTTGTTGAAGCTTGAATCACTAAGACTTCACTAATTTCTTTAAAATGTTAATATTGTATGAAAACCCCTAACAAAGTGTCTTATGTAAAATTGGTGGGCGTAATGCAATTTGTGTGTTTGCATGTAAAAGCTGTTATTCTCTGTGTCATGCTAGATTAAAAATTAAAGCAGCACACATTAAAACCTCCCGAGACATAATCCTAATCGGGAGAAAAATGTTTAAAATAATTTCATTCTTGAATTTATATTCTTGGATTTTTGTAAACCTGCACTTTCTGCTGCTTGCCTTTATTTCCAGTCATCTCAGAGGTCAAATTGTTCTAAATGCTATAAAAATAGACAATCTGGTGATTCAAAAAGCAGCCAGTCGGACAAAATTTATTTTAATCTGGACTGAAGGGAACTGCTGGAACCTGATAGTCACGCACAACGCTTTTGGGATAAAAAGTCCCATTCTTTAATCTAATTTAAACAATAAGACAAAAACAGCTCGTGTAAATTCAGATTTGATGCCAACATTTAAATGTTATTTGAACAGAAACAAACATGTGTAGATTAGCAGAAAAAAAACAACTAAAAAGTATCACAAATGCATCTGATATTCAGAAAAAAAACAAGACACCGCCAGTATAAGGTGCATAATTTATGAAAATAAACAAGTTAGACATATGTTACACAAAAATAAATTATATTTAGTTGGCATAAATACAATTTTCATTTTAATGCATTAAAAGTGCAATTCAATGAATCTAATTTGATAATTTCTATTAAATTATGCATAATAAAGATAGTAATAAAAATAACTGTTTGTGAATGTTTAAACGCGAAATCACAACAATTATGTGATTCAAAGCTCTGCGTTATTTTGAATTTCCTTTAGTTTTTGACAGAAACCCTGCATTGATATTCAAACCTCATCCAAATCATTTTTCATCATCAATGATCAAATACAGTATATCCTGAATCCTCAGCAGCAGTTATGATCACATCCTAAAGTCACCAAAAACAGTAATCTTAGTAAATCTGTGGAAAACTGCTATAGCTCACCAGGCATCCTCTAAGGCCCACACACACACCTCTGTTGAGTGTGAAAGTGTTTTTCTAGAACTGCAGAAGAATCACATGAAAACTTCCTCCATTCTCTGCTGTAGCTCCGGGTGAACAACAACAACGACTTCATTTGGTCACCAAGGACAGTCACAAGCATCATGTGGCTGCAGATAGCAAATGGCTGCTGCTATAAGTGCTGAGGGGATCCGGTTCCCGTGGAGCGTATGCCCTCTGTTTGACTGGGAAGCTTTTATCATTGACCGTCATTCTCTAAAATTCAACATTTATTGCTGCAAACCTTGCATAACAAAAGCAAACAGGAAGTCTACAGAAAGCTCACTGTTGTCGCACTGAGGGTTTTCTCCCCTCTAGTCTGAGAAGTTTGCCGGGAGGAAAAAATAAGCTCACCATGAGACAGAGCCACCCTTTTGTCAAATTAAATTATGTTTGGGATCTCTGCACACTGTCAGAAGTCTTGGCATTCTACCCCAGAGAAAATCATCTGAAAGAGTGGAGACAAAAATAAAACTGTTGGGTAAACAGAGGAAAAAAATTAGAGAGGGTTGGAAATAATAAAGGTGTTTTTAGTGTGATGCTGGAAGTACAGTTCAACCCTCAGGTTCTCACATGTTGCAAGTATAGATGCCATCAAGGTCAACAGCATCCGAGTGGATAAAAAGCAAGGAAAGTGTCCAATTTATCAATCAGTTTAGCAAAAATTAGAAATATCTTCAATTCTAATGCACAGAGAGTAACTTCATATGGATTATTGCAGAATTTAGGCCAGCTTGATGGAACCAGAAATAATCAAATATTGGCAATTTGACTCCAATTGAAGTTCGAGTTTGAGCCAAACAGACCGATGAAGTGAGGAATTATAGAGCAATAAAAACAGCCAGCATCACATTTAGATAAGAAAGGTTAAATAATTATGAATAATCCCAATCTGCAGACTGAAGGAGCAGAAGGTCACAGAAGCTTCAGCCTCAATCTGAGATGTACCTGCTGGATTTTTTTTTGTTTTTGTTTACAAATTATATGTTTGAGTGATCTGAACAGAAGCAACAACTTCAAAAATCTTGTATTATTTGATTTTCAATATTTATTCAGATTTATTTAAAAGTGTATAGTTTATAATGTCAAAAATAATCTGAATATTTTAGAAATGTAGGATTTTATAGTAATTAATCAAAGGAAAGATATACAAGTGACTATAATCAATAATAAACATCTTTAGAGTATTAGTGTTACAATAACAACCTGTTATAGAGATTTTGGTTTTAATATTTTACCTTCATTTCTGCTGAATAAAGCTGTTTCAATACTAAAAATAAAAGAAAATGCTAAACAAAAAAATGTTGGATTAACTGAAAATTAATCTACTGGTTTAACATTCAACAGAAACATGTTTTCATTAGAGAAATAGGTTTAGTTTAGTTTATCTAAGGTCATTTATGTAGGTTTTTAGAGGTCCTGGTATGGTTTAAAGTTTAAAACTGCAGCAAGGTCAAGTGTTTTCTGAATTTGTGATGATTTTGGTTAGGGTTCGGGACGACGGAACGGTTTCAGTTTTGTGCCGGTGAACATGAAAACAACAGAAGCGAAGAACACATTTAAGCTTTACTGAATATACAACTAAAGAGGCTGGGATTAAATAAAGTGACTTTGGTTGCTTTGAATAATCTGACAGTTTAAGAATAACATGTGAATGAATTTAATTAAGCTGATGTTGTGACGATTAAAACAAAAACTACTAGAGTCGCATTCGATCTCTATGAACTCAAAACACGTGTTGAAGTTTATTTTTTATTTTTAAACTTTTCGACCACTCATCAGTCAGTCCCACTCCTCATCATCTCTGTAAGGGTCGTCGTCTCTGGGCGGCTCCTGGAACCGGATGTTTGCCAGCATGTCCCTCATCGCCACCATCAAACGATTTACTTCTTGGTTCAGCTCCTGGCCGGCTCGGGCCACCCCCATCTCATCCTCCTGCCTCAGCCCACCCTTTAGATGAAAGCAAATAACATTTAACGATCTATGCTCCTATTTAAATGCCTTTGTCACGCACTTACAGCTTTTTGTAGAACTCACCTGTTTTTCTTTCATAATGTACGTAAAGTAATTCAAATGAAGGATGAGTTTCTAGCATCCACACTGCATCTCATCCTCCCCATAATTAGATAACGTAATCAGGAAGGATGGAACTATCCAGATGGAAACTTGCCGCTGGCATTCCCTTCTAACATTACGCACGCTTACCCATAAAATGGGCATACATGCATCTTACTTACAAAAACAATGATGAGAAAGATAAAATACATCATATTTATGATCCCGCCCAGAGCACACACTGCACCAGTATCCTGGTTTAACCTTGTTTGGACATAAACCAGGATCGTTCCGTTCGTCACACAGAACACAAAGCATCATTTGAGAGCCCTTAGTAGCTGTATTGTCCCTTTGGAACTACGTGTTACAGCAATATCACACTTTATACTTAAGTATATTCATGACTGAAGAAAAACAGCTACCAGTTTTAGTGCATTCATATTAGTGTAGTGTGTGGGAACACATGGGAGAGTAACACTGCATAATGAGAGCTGCAACTTACTCATTTCATATTTGATGATTCCCAAAAGTTGAGATTATTTCCATTAATTACTGTGGCTGATACTTCTCTGTGAGTTACTGCACCTCCACTCCCTTTCTCAGTCACTTTGATCAGCTCACCAGCTGTTGCTGAAAGTGCCTAGGACTCACGGGAAACTCTGCAGGTGTTCTGCAGTGTGTTGGCATTTCCAGGGGTGTTTCAAGTGCCTGGAAACATTGGGGGCTGAGCCCACACCCTCATAGAGGAAACCGGGGGAACTTAAATAGTAAAAAAAATGTATTAAACTTTGTTGTGCATTGTTGTACCTTGTTTAAAGCCAAATACCGCCATTTGTACTTCAAAGTATGTTTTTTTAATGTGAGAATGTAATCAACATCTCTAAAATCAGTAATAATCGTGTTTAACTGTTTAAACAGTTAAAAACTGTTGTGTCTAGTTGATCTAGTTTACAGGGTATCTGCAGGTTTAAGGGAGCCAAAATTAAGACTTTTTAAGACCTTTTTTAAGGCCACTTTGACCAAATTTAAGCTCGTTGTCGTCTTCCTCCGCTTATCTGGGTCCGGGTCACGGGGGCAGCATACCAACTAGGGAGCATCAGACCGTGCTCTCCCCGGCCACCTCCACCAGTTCCCCCGGCAGGACCCCAAGGCGTTCCCGGACCAGATTGGAGATGTAACCTCTCCAACGTGTCCTGGGTCGACCCGGGGGCCTCCTGCCGGCAGGACATGCCCGAAACACCTCCCTAGGGAGGCGTCCAGGAGGCATCCTGACCAGATGCCCAAATCACCTCAACTGACTCCTTTCGATCGAGATCCAAATATAAGCTATTTTTTAATTAAATTTAAGCTATAATTTCCAGCTATTGCCTGGAACCGGTGCTAACCACGTCGCGAACGTGGGATTAACCATCCATTTACCATTAAACTTGCACTTCTCCATGGCGCAAGCTCCCACTAGCTTAACCAGCTAATGTGCTCATCTAAAAATAGTCCCCTTTCACAACCAACTGAATGTGTACGGTTCCGCTTATGCCAATATCGTACACAAAAAATGCTGAAGACTAACTAGAAATTCACGAAAATGTCATAGAAATAAAATAATCTAGTTTATTGGGTCTTTGGTAATTTAAGACCTTTGGAAACAGTATTTAAGGATTATTTGTCATTTTTAAAGATTTTCAAGGCCTTACATTTGGAAAAGTAAATTTAAGACTTTTTAAGACTTTTTAAGGACCCGAGGATACCCTGAGTTTAGTAACACCATTGGGAATTTTGACTCATTTGACTCACTTCTTAGTGGCCTAGTGGTAGAGTGTCCGCCCTGGGACTGGGAGAGCAGAATTCAATTCCCGGTCGGGTCATACCAAAGACTAGCCTAGTGAACTAGACCAAATTCTTGCTTTGCAAAGAATGGTCTAGGCATGCTCCATTGGAACCTCAGCAGCTCCTACCAGGACTCTGGCTAGCCAATCACAGCTCTCTAGAGGGGTTTCAAACACATAAAGAGCTGTGATTGGTCCATAATGGTGGGCCAATCATAGTGCTCTATCTGCTTAGTGAACAAATCACAGAGCTTTATCCGCTTTGTGGGCCAATCAGGGCACTCTATATGCCTGGTGGGTGGTATGATGCAACAGAGTGAAACAAGAGTATGTCACATTCATTGTCCAGTAGCATGTGGAGATCATTTGAAAGACAATGGTAGAACCCGCCCCACAACCGGGAGCCATCAATGGAGCATAGCCAGACTAAATAATACATTTATTTAGTCTGGCTTGCCAGGCTAACCAAAGACTTCTAGCCTAGTGAACTAGACCAAATTCTTGCTTTGCAAAGTTTGGTCTAGGCATGCTCCATTGGAACCTCAGCAGCTCCTACCAGGACTCTGGCTAGCCAATCACAGCTCTCTAGAGGGGTTTCAAACACATAAAGAGCTGTGATTGGTCCATAATGGTGGGCCAATCATAGTGCTCTATCTGCTTAGTGAACAAATCACAGAGCTTTATCCGCTTTGTGGGCCAATCAGGGCACTCTATATGCCTGGTGGGTGGGATGATGCAACAGAGTGAAACAAAAGTATGTCACATTCATTGTCCAGTGGAATGTGGAGATCATTTGAAAGACAACGGTAGAACCCGCCCCACAACCGAGAGCCGTCAATGAAGCGTGGCCAGACTAAATAATACATTTATTTAGTCTGGCTTGCCAGGCTAAAAGACTTCACCAATGGGACCCAATGCCTCCCTGCTTGACACTCAGCTTTAAGGGGTTGGATTGGGAGGTTAAACCACCAAATAGTTCCCGAGCGGGACCACAGCTGCAGCTCACTGCTCTCCATGGGGAAGGGTCAAATGCGGAAATGAATTTCACCAGTGTGTGATGACTAATGGGACTTTATCTTTAGCTTTGTATTACAAATAATTATCTTTTTTTCTTATTTAACACAGTGAAGTAATTATATGTTTCTTTACCTTTGTCTGACATGTTGGACGAAGGTAAAGAAACATAATTACTTCACTGTGTTAAATAAGAAAAAAGAAGATAATTATGATTCAACACACAGAACAAATATACAGAAGAGTTTTTATTACAAAACCTGAAAGCTATTGAAGAAAATCACTTATTTTTTATGAAAATCTTTATATATATATATATATATATATATATATATATATATATATATATATATATATATATATATATATATATATCAGATTGTATGAAATATGATAAAAACAGTTATGTCTCACTGGTCTAGTTTCTAACACCATTGGTATTTGGTTTTGAGTATTTAAATTTACTTAGAAGCTGTTGATAAAAATTAGCATCAATATCAGCCAAAGATATTCCATTTTAACATATCGGTATCAATCCGATAAAGACAACTGGGCCGATATTAACATTGTATCCTCCCCCCCTCCCTTTCTGTGTCATAGGGTAAGGGTGGTGATGTGTACTAGTTTGGTCATGTGACAGTGATTGTCATAATAATGTAAATTCAACATTAATAGTATTCATTCTATACAAAATCTTCAGATTTTAGAAGCATCAATGTCAATATATCAGCATTGGCAAATATCGGTTATCAGCCATAACAGTGATATTAATATCAGGTATCAGCCCAAAAATGTCATTATCGGTGCATCACTAATAAGATCATTTAATTGTTTATCAAAATCTTAATAAAACAGATTAGATTGTATGAAATATGTTAAAAACTGTTGTGTCTCGTTGGTCTTGCCTAGTAACACTATTGGCAATTGATTTAGTCATTCAATCTATGAAGCTGAAAGTTTTCATTTTTTTTTAAATCCATTTTCAAATGACTAGAAATTTGTTGATGGTCTTTAAGTAAACCACCGCTTTCATGAACGAGTCCTCGGAACACAGCTGACTGTCGTCTCTGGCACAGCATCAAAACCCATCACTGACCGTGGTGAACCTCTGACGAATATCCAACGTACATCTAACTTCACTGTGACAAAATAGTTCCTCTTATTTCTGTGCAAATGATGTCCATTTTTGGTTGGAATTCGAACCGCTTGAAACAAGAGATCAGTCACCGGGCTGATGCTTAACCAACAGTCTTCCCCGTCCCAAGTCAAGATGGGTGAGTCCATGAATGTTAAGCGACGATGTGACGTAGATCTGTCAGGCTTTTCAAATCCTAGAGCTTCACCGTCCATTTTCTATCAGAAGCTAATGCAAGAGATAGTCTTATTCATTAATACTCGCTTGCTTCTGATTGGCGAGCAGTAACGTGACTTTTCTTCTGCTCTTGTTCGCCTTTTTTTTTGTTTATTAAATTCAATGCTGAAATGTTATCTCCACGAATTACATCAGCCAGAACATCTTCTGCCATGAAGTTGCCAACGGTTAGCTTCTACTAGCTCAGACGCAGTTGCAAACCAAGGTGGGTGAGGCCATGAATGCCAATTATCCCTGTGACTTTCTGAATCGATTGTTTTTCATCTATTTTCTTTCTGCAGTTAAAGCGGGCCACGGGGGTTGAAAATAAATGTTCACATTCAGCATACAGTAGGACGCAAAAGTTAGGGCAGCCTTTATGTTCTATTGTGTAAATCGTTGGTTGTTACAAAGAAAATGTATAGCACAATCGGCCAATTGTAAGTTTCCCTCCTCTCTGAATATTCTCTAGAGTAGCATGGGGGTCTCAAAACAACTCTCACATGAGCTGAAAACAAAGATTGTTCACAAACATGGTTTAAGGCAAGGTTACAGAAAGCTGTCTCAGAGATTTCAGCTGTCTGTTCCAGTTTGGAACATACTGAGGAAATGGAAGACCACAGGCTCAGTTCAAGTTAAGGCTCCAAGTGGCAGACCAAGAAAAATCTCAGATAAACAGAAGTGAAGAATGGTGAGAACAGCCAGAGTCAACCCACAGACCAGCACCAATCACCTACAACATCATCTTGCTGCAGATAGAGCCACTGTGCATTGTTCAACTACTCAGTGCACTTTACACAAGAAGATGCTGTATGCGAGAGTGATACAGCGGAAGCCTTTTCTCCACCCACAGCGCCAACAAAGCTGCTTGAGGTATGCTGAAGCACATTTGTGCAAGCCAGCTTTACGTTGGAATAAGGTGCTGCGGACTGATGAAACTAAAACTGAGTTATTTGGGCAGAACAAGGAGTGTTATGCATGGAGGAACAAGAACACAGCATTCCAGGAAAAAAAACACCTGCTTCCTACAGTAAAACATGGCGGTGGTTTCACCATGCTGTGGGGCTATGCGGCCAGTGCAGGGCCTGGGAATCTTGTTAAAGTTGAGAGACGCATGGATTCCACTCAATATCAGCAGATTCTGGAGACCAATGTCCAGGAATCAGAGCCAAAGCTGAAGCTGCACCGGGGCGGGATCTTTCAACAAGACAACAACCCTAAACACTGCTCAGAATCTGATGAGGCATTCATGAAGGGGAACAAGTACAACGCTCTGGAATGGCCATCTCAGTCCCCAGAACTGAATATTATTGAAAATCTGTGAAGCCATCAAACCTGAATGAACTAAGGATGTTTTGTAGAGAAGTATGGTCCAAAATACTTTCAACCAGAGTCCAGACTCTCATTGGAAGCTACAGGAAGTGCTTAGAGGCTGTTATTCCTGCAACAGATGGATCAACTAAATGCTGAGTTAATTTCTTTTTTATGCACCTGTCTAATTTTGTTTCAACAATTATTGCACAATTTCTGTTAATCCTATAAACTTTGTTTCACTTCTCAAATATCACTGTGTGTGTTTCTCCTATATGACATATTTAACAGCAACAATATTTAACAACCAACAATTTATAAAAGAAAATCATGAAGATTAACAAGGCTGCCCAAACCTTCGCATCCCACTGTACTTCTGTAACTCTGAGGGACAGATCGTATTTCTCAGTAAACAAGAAATTTAAACTAAGAATTTCAGACAGTTAAACAATTTAGGTTTCAGACTTAACAGCAGCATTTATGATCAAATTATGGTCGGATAATAAAAATGAAAAAACTGTCTCTGTGGTTGAAATAAAATTACAGTTAACTGTAGATAAAAAACAGAAAAGTCCACGGTGTAAATCAACTGTTTGTGCACCACAGTTAACAACTGTCTTCATTGGAAGCCTGTTTAAAAGCCTCCAACACACACTAACCACAACATTTTCATCCAGATAGTTTTGATATAGTACAGCCAATAAATGTTTTCAATATCCGTCTATTTCTAAAAGTACAAACGTTTAACCCTCCCACTGTCCTAATGGGTGTGACCCCATGAGGAAAGTTGACCATTGAGCAGGGTTGATGGTTTATCCCTTGAGGTCCACGTGGCAGGGGTGACATGTGGCAGGGGTGAGGAGCACCACCTCAATGGTCAACTTTCCTCGCGGGGTCACACCCATTAGGACAGTGGGAGGGTTAAACAACACACAGCTCTACCAGTTGATGGTTTCTGTTGTCAGATTGAAGCTGTACTGTTTTGTCCAGTATTCTGAACTAAATGTGTCTAAACATGACTAAAAACAGCTTATGACTTAGCTGAGAGGAGAAATGACGTTTTTGCTTCAGTCAAACTGATTGAACCCATCCGGGTTCAAACTATATATCTGAATCCATTTTTTCCTCCATCGAATCAAAATTACTTGTTTTCAAATGATATTAGACTAAATTAATCTTTAAATACAGGTTGATCCACAGAAAGATGTGTACAGTTATCATTATCACCTGTTAGATTTTCTCTTGATGTCACTGTTTTAGTCGACGAGGATTAAGAGCAAAACCATCGGGTTTTAAAGGGGAAAAACTGAGAAAACGGTTATTTTCTTTATTATTTCTACATTAAAAAATCTGCTAAAACTCCACATTCAATAATTTTCCTTCCAATTTTTATGTGTAAAATAAACCCACCGACTTGATTCCTACAAGATGACCCATTAAAAACAAGGCTAAAAACTTTATATGCCTCCTTGGATACTTTTAAGTTGTTGTCCCTCGAGGGAAAGCATGAGCCCTTCGGAGGAAATGTTCCATCAGTCAAGGACATGTTTGTTAAGGGATTTTCTCAGATGCTGCCAAAAGGCCCCGCAGGGTGCAGTGACTGAACACTTTTTTGGAGGTAAACTTTAAATAAGAAATTAAGAGACCACTGAGCTGCACACATGATGAAGAGGATGGTCTGCTCTGCTGCACATATGCATAAACAAAACTCAATGATGCACATAAACCAATTAATCAGAAAACTAAGAAGCACGTGTTCTGATTAGTCTTGTATAGGTGTAGGTCCTGCTCGGCAATCTGAGGTCAGATCAGGAAGCTAAGCCTCTCCTTTGAGTCAAACGCTTCAGGAAATGTACAGTAAAACCCTCAAGCTGCAGGAAATCTCAGCACCAAATGGAGGTTTTAGGACTGAATCGCTTAAAATCCCTTAGAGCAGTAAGTTCATTCTGAATGCAGTGATCAAACTCGGCACGATGTAACAAAATTTGTTACTAGACAAACGGCTTGTGTCTGTAGGGCTTACAGCTGCTGATCACATGGAGTCTTCACATGCACGGCATGAGTTCTTAATTAGTGCTTTCAGTTATTCAATGTCTATGCGGCCATCTTCAAATACAACAGCATGGAAGAGTCCAAACGTAGCCCGTTTACTGGTTTTAACCGATGGTTTGAACTCACTTTTAGGTTGTTTTTATTTAAATGTGTATTTTTTTCTTTGATTCACTTAAACCACAATCAGCAAACCTGTTACATTGCGAACACACACTAATCTAATTTTCTCAACTCACCTGAAGGTTGAAGTTCGGAAGTAAAGAACGGAAAAACAGTGACAGTGTGCTTTCATTGGATGCTCCAACATGCTGCCTGGATAAGACATAAAAACACAGAGAAACTGTTTTCAAAGTACTTTAAAAGCAGACAATTAAAAGGCATGTTAGTGCTGTAAAAAGTGGATTTTATTGGTATTCCCATTACCTCTCTGGTCTGGTGTATGAGATCACCGAGTCCAGAGGAGGAAGGAGATCAAACCCCATCACAGGCTGAGCGGTCACGTCCTGAAAGAGATACAACCAAACATTTGACATCACTTGCAAACGAGGCATCTTGACTAGTAAATATGAGTTAATTTGACAAAAAATAATAAAATGAATAAATAATTAATAAAGAAAACATCTTTGAAAAGTGCAAAAAGAGAAGATCTGCATAACTCGGCTTAACACATTCCCTAAAGATCTCATTTGGAATCTGCTATGATTGTGTTCTTTGATAAAACCATTACATTCAGACTTGACTAAGTAATCTCACTTCTGTGGTGTAAACATGTTTCTGCTAGACCATCTTCAAAGAGCTCACAACGGGGCAGCACATTTTCTGACAAACACAGACACCCATATCGCTCCTGTGCTTTTTACTGGGTTTGGTTTAAGATTTTGCCTTTTGTTGTCACACCCCTTTACAAGCTGACTGCCTATCTTTCAGAATTGCTCACATTTAAACCCCCCCCCCCCCCCCCCCCCCCCGGTACCTTGTTATCTTTGTTGTTGTTTACTAGTATTCTGCACGTCACAAATTATAAGTGTAACAGAATGAAATGACTGTTTTCCCCCTCCTCTGACACAGGACTAGTCTGCATGAGATATGGTCTCAAGGTCTCATGCATTGGCTTCTAATCTGCTTCTTTTCAGCTCAACAGAAGAATGAAGAATGGACTCTTTTCTTTTAATTAATCAAAGAACTCTATTTTAATAAGCTAATCAAGCAAAGTGTTACCCCAAAATTCCACTATCTCCGCTCCGCCCCCGCTTTCCGCTGCCGCTCGCTTCCGAACTCAAATTATACTGTACCCGCTCTACAACGGCTCCGCTCCGGTGCGGAGACCTGAGGTGCGCAAACAGGCATGCGCGGGATTTTCGAGATCTTGTGATACAGTCCGAGCAATAAATGCGGAAGTCAGATCCAAACACCCGTTGTGTGGGAGAAGCATCGAAATGAACTGTTTAATCTGCCCATCATTTGTGTTGAGAGATCAGCAGTGTTTGGATCAACAAAGGGTGACTACTTTGATAGTGGAAACTGTATTTATGGCTTATTTTTGTGCATTTAAAGTTCAACCGCCATTGATAGTTGTTAAAATTTGTTAAACCTGTGCATATGAAACAAAAAAACGCTTTTTGTTATCGATTTATTGTGAAATAGCGGAAGCTGTACTTGCTTGCTCCCTTTCCTGTTGGGCGGTTGTGATCAGATAGAATCGATCCTATTTTTGCCGGATGGAGGAACGGCAGGCGGCGCATTGCGCCACACGGCCGCAGTAGTGGAACAGCACTGATTGACTACAACGGGACCGTTTTTGCTGCGGAGTTCGTGCCGGAGCGGAGCGGAGATAGTGGAATTTTGGGGTAAGTCAATAAATAAGATGTGACCGATCTGTGAAATCAAAATATTAATTTCCACCTATTTTCAAAAATACCATAACAGCACAAAAACAGAGCATGTGCTGGTGATGTCTTACAAGGGGCAGGGTGGAGGTGGCCTCTTTGATCTCAGAGAGGAGGACGTGGCGATGGATGTTTCTCGGTGCGCTCTGGTACCTCTGTTTTCTCCTGCAACAAAGGAATGGACCTTGAGAGTCGTCGCTCTATGTGGAGAAGTTCTAGTTACAGCAAAGGTGTATAAAGTGGAGATTATACTTGTTTTCGCATTCTTCCACAAAGGAGTCTTTGGAGTCAACTCTACGCAGCACCTCCTTGACAGACTCCTCTAACCAGAGCATTATGGCTGCCTCCTTCCACAGAGCGTACGTTCTCCCTACGTACAGCGCTGTCAGTTCAGCCAGAGCCGGCGGCTGCCTGGAGACAAACGGGGGGAGGGGGTGAACTTTACACCGGTGCAGACGGAGAAAACATTACGAAACAACAAAAAAAGTGAAACAAATCTAAAACTACTAAAATAAGTCATGAAATTATTATCTGTTGTTTTATATTAGATTTGTTATGGTTATGCAGTGTAAAAAGCAAAATTACAGTGTGCTGAACATATTAACAGTTGAGGAAAAGGAGGCTCACCCTATCTGACTCTTTGGGCCAAAGAAGCAGTGGGAGGTGACGGTGGCATCTGGCTGCACCGTGCACAGATCCAGTAAAGGCATCAAGACTGAAGGAAGCACATTAAAAGATGAATAAGGTCCAGAATTAAAATACCTGTAAAGAAACAACTAACCACTGAGGGTCAGGTCTAACCTCCAGGGAACATAATAAGAGCACTCTGGAGCATCTGGTCAGCTAGTTTTTTCTGATTTTCAGCTTCTTTAGGATCCAAATCCTCCTGCTGGCTGAGGTGGAAACGACAAAGTGCACAGGAGAACGCAAAGTTCGGCAGCTGAGAGAGATTTCTGTGCTCCTGAAAAGTGACAAGAAATCATTTCTGCGTCAGATTAGAGGGGTAACAGTGAAACGGGACATTAACTGCTGCATGGCTTACCTCCCAGTCCTGATATAACTGAAGGAGAGACTTGTACTCTCTGGAGCGCAGCATTAGGAAATCAACCAGGAGGAGCATGCAAAGGGGGTCCAAGTCTGGATCCAAACTGTCTCACACACACACACACAAAGAAAGTAAGAGTATATATATATATAAATATACGTCCGACGAGACGGATAACGCAAGCTTGTGATTGGTCAGGACACCACTGCCACCTCAAAGACAAAGAAAGCTGAAGATATCTAGCAGCAGACGCAGAGAAGCTTGAAGAATACCTCGTGAAAAAACTCTAAATATATTAACGTTTTATTCACCCGTGACTTGAGGAGTGAAAAGATACACAGCAAGCGTTTTATTCGTGGACGGAAACGATGGGAAAGGTGGGTTTAGAGGTGGCGAGTGCATGAAGAGGTGGTGGAGGAGAAGGAGAGACAACATTGTATGTGCTAAAAAGGCTCTTAAACACAAAAAACACAATAATAAACACACTATCTTGGACCGGACACATGACAGGGTACCACAGAACAGTGCTATGCCCTGTTGTCCTGGCGGGGAATTGCTTTGCAACACTCCTCAGGAGATGGAGAAGTCCGAAGGTAAAATGTCTATCAGTGCAGGAGTGTCTCTCCCTTGTGGAGCTGATGGAAGATGTATAAATTAGGCTTTACAAGGCATTCATTCCTATTAGAAATCACTGCAAGTGTATTATCAAATGAGTGAACCACTCCTTTAAACCTTAAAATGCTCAGAAGTTGAAGTAATTGATGGCTGAAACGTGCTTCAAATCCTACATTTAACTTTCATAAGTCATCAAATTTTCTTAAATAAATAAAGAAGTCAATAAATCAGCAGATGTTCTTTCCTACATTTTTTCCTGCTAGCTAAACGACCTTTTCTGAAAGAATGTTGCACGATTCTTAAATTTTGATTTTATTCAGGTAAATGAAAGTAACTTTCTCTCTTCTAGGTCCTGTCCACACGTAGCCGGGGATCTGCCAAAACGTAGATATTTTTCTACGTTTTGGCCTGTCATCCACACGAAAACGGAGTTTTTTCACACAAAAACGGATCTTTTTTAAAACTCCGGCCAAAGTGAAGATCTGCGTTTTCTCCGTTTTGGGTGTCTGCGTGTGGACAGACAAAACCGGAGTTTTAAGGTCCGCAACGTCACTTTCTGCGACAAAAAAAATGCTGACATCACGTGTGCGACCTGTGTTTACACTAGCCGACAGCATGGATGCCCTCAGAGCTGCGTTCGCTTTATCAATTGTCCAAGCGCTTTTTGCTTGTTTGTTTTTGCAAGCGGAATTACTGCTCCTTGCGGAAGACCACAGACGAAGGACGAGGTTAAGAACGGGGGAAGTACTGCCGCCTACAGGTCTGTGATGTCCTTAACAACGTATTTATCCGGGTGCGTGTGGATATATAAATGTCGATGGTGTGGACAGAGTTTTTTTTTAAACGAGGTGGTGTGGATGCAAGTTTTTGGAGGGGCGGATATTCGTTTAAAAAAAAACCCGGCTACGTGTGGACTAGGCCCTAGTCCGTATGATCTTTTGCAACGCTCAAATCACAAAAACCTCATCAAGTTTCCAAAAGAATGACCAGAAGCCCGTGTCTGAACCCGAGACAGTAAAACAGGAATACGGTGGAGTTTAGAATGTATATTTCTGAGTTTTAACTTTTTGTGCTAAACGTTATACCTAAGGATCAGTTTGCAGTACTCCAGAGCGGTACGGGGGCATCCTCTCTTCTCCAGGAACACCATGTGCTTATAAAGAGCCAGATAAAATGCTCTGCAAAACAAGGATTATTAGACAGAGTGTAAGTTCAAAGCAATAATCCAGGAGTCAAACAACAAAGTGAGACAACAAACCTGTTTTCAGGTCTCAGATAATCCAACCTGCTGGTACCTGACGTCAGGCTGAATAGAGGATGAAAAGCACACTCAAAGCTGTACAAAGCCCTTTCTGTAAAAACATAAATAACAACAATTTTACATTATTTATTAGTGCATAAAACTGAGGCTAATAAAATGTCAGAAACAATGGTTTTAACAGCCGATCAAGTCTTTGCATCCTAAAAATAGAAGAAGTGAAAAACGCTGCCTTATAGGAAAGTCTGGCTGACGGCACATAATTTAATCATCCAGGAGAAGACAGATGCTCTTTGTGAAATGCTCCCTCTGGTCCTCCACATGGACTATTTTAAACAGCCAGTTAAGGACAGCGCCTGTGATAATGAGTGTAGCATTGTGCTTTGTATGAACTCGGTCTTTTAACAGTGACTGGTTTGTTGGCTCAACCTCTGCAAAAAGCACACAGCTCAAATTAAAAAAATGTTTCCGTTATATGAACAAAAATAGCAATTATCAGTGGACTGGTCGAAAGTCATTCTGTAAAAATAATTTTAACTCTAGGGCAACATATCTGAACTTGATTTGATCTTAGCTCTCAGACGACCCTTGAGTGGAAAATGAAATTATGCAAGGATTAATTTGGTCTAGCAGGTATGTACAAAATAAAAACACATCTGTAATTAAAACCGGGTGGTTTGATATTTAAAATAAAATGAATGATGCAAACACCTTTTCCAAACTCTATGATAATAATAGAGTGTTTCATCATTGGTTTGTGACAAAAATATTTAGTCTTTAAACAGAAAAAATGGAATAAAAGACGTTTCTGTTCAGCAAGCTGAAACAGAAAAACACCAATTAGTAACTTTACCATACCATACCACTTTATTTATATAGCGCTTTCAACACGACATTACAACCATACAAAGCGCTGCACAAAAAACAAGCAAGAAAACACAAGTTAAAATAGTCAGGTAAATGGAAAATGTAAAAAGGAGCAAAGAAATAAAACAACAGACTATTAACAGTAAAAGCAAATAAAACCAGAATATAAAAACACAAAATTAAAATTGAATTGTGTAGGAGGGACAATGGATGAGCTAAGGAGTTATGGAAATAGGGATCGAATGCGTAAGTGAAGTAGAGGGTCTTCAGACGAGATTTAAAGACGCCGATAGAGGAAGCTTGCCTAACCTGCAGTGGTAATGAGTTCCATAACATTGGGGCACAGACTGAAAAAGCCCTTTCCCCACGAGTCTTCAAACGTGCCTTAGGGACAGTTAAGAGGAGTTGATCTTCAGACCTAAGAGCTCGAGGAGGGTGGTAGTAATGAAGGAGATCACACAGATAGGGAGGAGCTTGACCGTTCAAGGATTTGAACGTGAGAAGTAAAATTTTATAATTGATCCTGAATTCAACAGGCAACCAGTGAAGCGTTTTAAGAATAGGTGAGATGTGGTGTCTTCTTTCAGCTCCAGTCAAGAACCTTGCTGCAGAATTCTGAACAAGCTGAAGCCTAGACAAAGCCGCCTCACTGATACCGTACAAACAGGAGTTTGAATAATCCAACCGAGAAGTGATGAATGCGTGAATCACAGATTGTAGAAGACGAACACTCAGGATGGACTTTAATTTGGAAATACGTCTAAGATGGTAAAAGCAGGACCTGACCGTACTATTGACCTGAGCATCCATCTTCAGAGCAGAATCTACTCTTATTCCAAGGTTGGAAACAACAGAAGTGACATTAGGCGACAGATAGTTGAGGTCTGGTTGCTGGGCTGCTCTAACACTAGTTGGACTAAAAACGATTACCTCTGTTTTGGAGTCGTTAGGATGTAGGAAGTTGTCAGCCAACCATTGCTTGACTTCGTGAAGACAATCGAACAGAGGTTTAGTGGAGTCTTGGGGTTTCAGTGAAAAATAAATTTGACAATCATCTGCATATAGATGGTAAGACACTGCATGCTGTTTGAGAACAGGATGTATGAACTTTCTTTTCATACATCCTGTTTTTAAACTAAGAACCTTTTGAACATAGATTAATTTATTGAAAATTATTATAAAAAAAGTTTAGTTCACTAGGATAAGTAGTGGGGCAGGACAGGAGACTCTGATCCTCACCGATGAGGTCCCTGGCCATCTCCTGATCCTCCTGGATTCGGCAGACGTCAGAAAGCTGAAGCAGGGAGTCGATATGGTAGGGGTTGAGCTGAAGCAGCGCCTGACATGGAGAAGATAGAAAAGATTATAAAACTGGATGAAGAAGATCTTTTTTTTTACTCACCTATGGGTTTTAGTCCTAACAGTAAAGGCATTTTATTTTACATCACAGCTTTCGCTGTAGGTTCAGTGAAATCCTTATTTCACTTTGAATACAAGTGGGAAAAATGTTTGTTAAGCACATGTTCATTTTTTTCATTCAAGATAAAGTCACAAGTGCAATTAAATTACAACTATTTCCGACCGCTTATCCAAGATCGTGGGGGCAGAAGCCTAAACAGAGAAGCCCGGACTTCCTTCTCCCCAGACCACTTGGGCCAGCTCCTCCAAGGGAATTCCAAGGCATTCCCTGGCCAGCAGAGAGACATAGTCCCTCCTGCGCTTCCTGGGTTTTCCCTTAAGCCGGGCATACACTGTGCGACTTTTTCACTTTTTTGAGCCGATTTTCCAGTCGTGCGAGAATCCACGACATCGGGGTGAGTTTTGCGCCTAGCGGTCGTGTAGTGTACAGGGGGTTACGAGAGGCGATTAACACCACGTGACCAGCTGCCGATCAGCAGTCGTGAGGTCGCACGGACTTCTGGCGTGTTTAATATTTTGCTCGTCCCTCGTGAGGGTATCGCACTGTTGAAGCGGCGCTGCGAGCAGCTGCGACCCAAAATGTATCAGAACCGCTCACGGCGCATGCGCAATCCTGCAACAACGCCGCTCGCCCGCTATTTCCCTAATAACACACGTTGTTCGTTTTTGTTTCTACACGTTTTTTTTACTCACAAAGATTGTCAAGAAAGCGTGTTTGTCGTGTTCATGTCAAATTAAACTGATCACAAAACACAGATTTACTTTCTTTATTTCGTTTTCCTCATCCAACCCCCATATATCCCTGCGTGTCCTCCTGCAGCACTCCCGAAGGACAACAGGCAAAACAAGACCAAAAAGTCTGACGTGTTGAGTAAAAACTGCTATTTTTAGCATATTTTTTAGGGCCGACATGTTGCTACCAGACGTACAGTGTGAGCAGTCAGGTCGCATCCGAGAACTGGGTCGTACAGTGTGAGCGCCTGGCTCGTGAGATCTGCTCTGCGAGGAAGTCGTACAGTTTGAGCTGAAGCTGAGTGCTACGAGTGAAAAAGTCGCACAGTGTACGCCCAGCTTTAGGTCTCCCGGGAAACCTCACTAAGGAGGCGTCCAGGAGGCATCCGAACTAAATGCCCGAGCCACATCAACTGGCTCCTCTTGACGTGGAGGAGTAGCGGGTCTACTCTGAGCCCCTCCCAGATGACCGAGCTTCTCACCCTATCTCTAAGGGTTAGAATCCTCTAAGGGTCCTTATCCCAGACACCCTGTGGAGTGTCATTTTGGCTGCTTGTACTTTAGTAAATAGTTAGCACTTAGTCAAAATAAACAACCGACTCTTCAGACTTGATCAAAACACAATCCTGGCAAAAAATAAAAATAAAAAATTTGATTATATTTGAATTTATAAACTGAGAAAAAACAAACTTTAAAATGCACAGAAGTTAATCAGCGGTTTTTCTGCAGCATGCCTGCTGCACCCAGACTGATGTAATAAATCTACCAACTAGATAATAACACACTTTTACGGTCTTATTTTAATAAAAACATTGTATATTTCCTCAATGCAACACAGATGGGCCGAGGTTTTGTAGGCTGTGTTAAGAGAAGTCTCACACTCACTCCCACACGTGACTGGATCTAGACACAAACATTTACCACGATGTTGTTGGGATCCATGGACTCAACAGCATCCAGGAACTTGAACTGCACTTGTTGGTAGTCCCGACTGTGCTCAAAGGTGAAACACTGAATCCCATTTTTGGACTCCAGTAAGGTCATTGAAACTCCTGAGAAGACATTAATCAGTGTTAAAAAAAATTTAAACACATTTCATCCACTCATAATAACTGATCGTCGGTTAAAATGTCAAATGAACCTGGCAGGTAATACACATGATCCATTATGTGACACCAGCTGTCCTCAAACATGCGATGTAACCTGGGACAAAGTTTTGGTTACAGTTAACTCTTCCAGTAAACAACGAAACATCTGTGGAGATGAGGTCAGTCCGGCATACACCACACAATAAAGGATTTACCCAAAATTTCAACGTTTTATTCGTTTTGCACAAATAAGAAAAAATAAATTAAACAGTTGTGTGGAAAAAGTTACCAAGTGTCCAAAACACAGGCGTCTGTGAAAAGTTGGGCTCGATAACAACTCGAGTCGATGTTTGTGAGAAGAATGTTATGTCGCCATGGCGTGAAGAACCATCAGAGAGATAAAATAATGAATCAATGGAGACTTTCAATCTGTTTACAATGAGGCAGTCTTTGTGAGCACGCCATCGTGCAAAAAAAGAAGCTTTTGGGGCCTATTTAAAACATCTGAGGAAAAGGTTTAGCTGCAAAGTTATTTTAAAAAGTTTCACCAGCTCTCATCTTCTCTTTTTTGCTCATTTCTAAAGATGGACAGCAGCCATCTGAAGGGTAAAAGTAAGTCAGCTGACGGTCTTGCCTGGACTTAGGACGACAGAATATTAGACTCAAACCCGCCTCTTTCTGTCAAAGATAACCTGCTGTGTCCGGCTGATGCATGTTACCATACCAGTTAGCACAGCGGTTCCTTCCCTTGTTCTAAGCATTGACTGTGGTTCTCGGTTGACTTTACCAGAAAGGTGGTGGCGGGGTGCGGTTACTGTTCTCCATTTCAAGTGTAATTAGGAAAATAAACCATTTTTAATGCAAAGGTAAGAACATTACTCTTTTTCCCTTAACAAACGACTGAATGATGAAACCCACCAGGACGGCTGAACCGAGGCCAGCTGTCCTTCGGACTGGTCATCCAAGTACTCCTGTGGAAATGTCTGTTTCTTTGTCGAGGTCTAAAAGCAGAAAAATGAACATGAGGCTTAAATTAATATATTTAAATATGTGTTTTTAAAAAAAGATTTCCTCTTTTTTTGTTTTTTTTACCTCTGATCCCCTAAAACAGCACGAGCTCCAAAGTATCTCTTCAGCTCAGTCTCTGGGTTGAGATTTCTAATAAAATAACATAAATTCACAATAACATTCCAATATGTCAAAAACACAACGTGTTATCTGTAGAGTAAATCGAATCAACTGATATGATTTAGACTGGGAAATTTTTATTGACTTAGAAAAGATTATCAACGCTGCACTGACAACAGAGTGCAGAACAAACCCTGAGCAAAGACTCATTTTGTTTGCTGCTCCTCTTTACTTCACATGTTGTAAAGCCCTGCAGTGATTTGCCTTTACATGTGAACCGAGTGCCACCGTGTGGTCGCCTTCAGAAGTTACAGACATTCAAAGGGGGATTTTCATGACTGATGTCATTTGACCAGGAAAAATCATGGAGAGATAAATAGCAGCAACACGACATTTTAAAAAGTCTCAGAAACTATGTTTTCTACTTTTAAACTCGGATGGGTTATAACAGCATTTTCTGAAATCCTAGAGTTTCACACTCAACGTTTCAATTGGAAGCTAATTCAGTAGGCAGGTGCAGGGGACCACTTTCATGTTTAGCCTGCATGAAAAACTCAGAATGACGATTATAATCAGAAAAAACATTTAAAAATAAGGGATATTCCGATCACGTTTCTATGCTCCCAATCTGATTCAAGTCATTTGATTTTAGGAATCTGCCGACACAGAGTTCTCATTTGATACTTTAAAGATGCATTAAGAAAAAAGGAGAACACACTAGAGTTGTCCTTTTTAGTTTTGTTTAATCATTAATGTGTTTCTTTCTTTCTGTATTTGTTATTTCTTTAGTTTATTTGCCATAAAACATCACTTGTTTAGGACGTACATTAATAAGAAAAAGTTTATATTACGAAGAAATGTAAAAGTAGCCTTGTCGCTCATATTTTAAATTGTTTACTCAGTGTGTGGCTGTTTTCAGCGACAGGGGTGCAACAGCAACGGCACGACGGTCAGCAGCAGTGTAACCTTTTTCTACAAAACACCCGTAGAGTTGCTGCCACTCAAGGAGACAGCAGAACCCGACGTTTGCAACCAGACACTCATCCAGTGTGGTAAATTTACTGCTATCTTGGCATTTTTGCTGCCCGGAGACTATTTCTTGGTTTCTTAATGTATCCTTTATTGTCGGCTGGTTTAGCCGAATTACTACAGCAAACTGAGCAGGGTCGGGTTTTTTTTTTTTTAGTTTTCCATCTCGCTAAATGCCCAGCTTGCACACATTACATGTATTTATTACACTCCCTTTGCTAATCGTTTAAAAAATGCATCCAAATTACAGGCATTTTCTCTCCCTTGAGGTGACAACTATGTTCTGTGTTAGCCAACTGCTACACGTCATGGTGAGTGAATTCCCGGACTACCTTAAATTGTGGGACTTTACATGTTGTTATCTGTGAAATAAAGAATACCGATGTAGAGGAACGTGTTGAATGTAAAACTAAGCCATTGTTTTTTCGTTTGCAAATCTCTTTCTCAGAATAAATTAATAAAGTAATGTCCATCCATCCATTTTCATCCGCTTATCCGGAGTCGGGTCGCGGGGGCAGTAGCCTAAGGTGAGAGGCCCAGACTTCCCTCTCCCCAGCCACTTGGGCCAGCTCCTCCGGAGGAATCCCAAGGCGTTCCCTGGCCAGATGAGAGACATAGTCCCTCCACCGTGTCCTGTGTTTACCTTTAGGTCTCCTCCCGGTTGGACGTGCCTGGAAAACCTCACCAGGGAGGCGTCCAGGAGGCATCCTGACCAGATGCCCGAGCCACCTCAACTGGCTCCTCTCGATGTGGAAGAGCAGCGGGTCTACTCCGAGCCCCTCCCGAATGACCGAGCTCTCGGAGCGGAGACCACTCTTTGGAGAAAACTCATTTCGGCCGCTTGTATCTGTGATCTCGTTTCGGTCACTACCCAAAGCTCATGACCATAGGTGAGGGTAGGAATGTAGATCGACCGGTAAATCGAGAGCTTTGCCTTCTGACTCACCTCTCTTTTCACCACGACAGACCGGTACAACGCCTGCATCACTGCAGATGCAGCACCAATCCGCTTATCGATCTCACGCTCCAGTGACTCCAGAGAGTCACTAGTCAGCTAGTGGCTTGCCTAGGCATGCTAATGGCTAGCCTCTCCGATGCTAACACAAGCCTATCCATGCTAATGGTCCATCAAGGGGGTAGGAAATCCAGCTAGTGGCCAGCCTAGACACGCTAATAGCTAGCTTCTCCAATGATAACAGCAGCCCGTCCAAGCTAACGCTAGCCTATCCATGCTAATAGACAGCAGAGGGAGTGTCTGAACCAGTCAATGACCAGCCCAGGGCTGCTAGTCCCTAGCGTATCTAGTAAAAACGCCGGTAAAGGTGCTATTTCTCAGTAAGCAGTGCCAGCCTCTCAGTCACCGGTGCCAGCTTATCATTTATCAGATCAGTAGTTTGCTTCGGAATTTATATAGCCTCCTGCTGCTGGGCAGTAGTCTTAATTTTGGCCCCCATACCGCGCCATATTTATAAGCAAGTTTACATAAAGACTGAAGCTTCAAAGACACCATTACCTGTGTTCCACGAGTATGACAGATTTTTTGTTGCAGCCTCCATTTTCATCACTTTGTAGACTCAGACCATTGGACTGCTCCAGGTTCTCCAGCAATAAATCAATATTATCAGGTTCAACTCTCTAAAAAAAACAAACAAAAAAAACAATTCTACTGCTGTTTTTCTCCAATAGAAACATGAGGTTTAGTAAAATACTGATTAATTTATGTAAGATGGTGTTATAGATTACAGCAATAATAATTGGTAACAAATATTAACAACACAGAGTAGGTCTAAGTAAAAATAATGCAGCTGTCTTGTCGAGTGAGATAAAAAACTGTACTTTTCCATCTTCTGATGTCACTTTTTTCTTCTTTTTCTTCTTCTTTTTACCTCTGTCACCAGACTGTTAAAGAGAACCGAGACATAACTGTTTTAGTCAACCTGGAAGGTGATAAGGTATGCAGACATTCGGAGGTGGACCAGAGGTGCTCGCAGCCTCGCCTCTGTCAGTGAGCTCCAGGGCAGCTGTGGATACATTGTAGCTCATCACCACTAGGGTGTGAATGTGTGCATGCATGGGTGAATGACTGATTGTGTTGTAAAGTGCCTTGGGGGGGGGGGGGGGGGGGTCCTAGGACACTAGAAGGAGCTATTGCAAAACGGGCCATTTATCATTCCTTTTGTTACGTCTTTACCTTAGCGGATACTCCCTCTTGGCTTTGAGCTAGCCTCTCAATTCCTCTGTTGTTGTCACTCTTTGCTTTGTCGCTTTTTTCTGCTCTTCCTGGTTTTTCTGCCTCGTCATCAGGTGGGATTTTCTCCACCTCATCAGCGTCACATATCTAGTTAATTAAAAAAAAAGTTTACAGGGTAAAGAGGTGACTGAAGTAATAAACAAGTGTAACATCACAATAGAAATTATCTCATTCTGATTTGTATCTTAAAATAATATTTTCCCTTTTTAAATAAAACGTTTTGCATATGTTACCAGCATGTAAAAAAGAAGACTGACATGCAATAAAAACAGTAAATAAAATGGAAATATAACTTCATATAAGCCTTAGAACGTTAGATATAAAATTTATCTTGACTAAATTATTCTACAAAATTTAAAAAAGCATAACATTCAGTAATGAAAGCACAGATCAGGAAATATTCAGAAAAAGCTCCACTTGTGTAGAATTTTGTCATTGAAAATAAGCATTCTGTTATTAACCCTATACTCTGTTATTAACCCTATACCTCTGCAGAACTTTCTAATGATGTCTGTCAGGGAAAAAAACATGAAGGAACTATTATGAAAATTCAGGCTCAATAAAGTGATAATATGGGAATAAGAGTAATTTTTTGTAACTGAGAACTGGAAAATAAGGTTGAATTAACAGCTGTGCAAACTTTGTAAATATGTGAATAAAGAGTTGTTCCTGTTTCTAATTCACTGGGTATAATTAAATGTGTCTGTAAACTGTTTTTTGTGTTGTGTTACAACTGTAATCATCCATTTAACTTAATAGCTCCTAAGAAAAGTGGGTAAATTATTTTAGAAAATTTTGGTTTTAAAGGTTCCATATGAGGCTATTTTAAACATCTGAGAGCAAAAGTAGGCACAGCGTATGATTAAAAATTACCATTGGATGTCATTTATTTTAAATACGAGTTTTTTTTTCCACCCATCAGACTGAATTTATACCCAGAAATAAAACTCCTCTTTCAGTGAAACTTTGCCAACACCCATTCTGACAGAATGTGCCTACAACTGCAGAGGTTAACGCGTCCAGCCCAGCACTCTAACCACTGGACTGCCAAATCTGTTAGATGACACCAGCAGCTAGACACATATCCTGTGCTGGCCAGGGGGAGACAGGTTTCAGACCAGAGACCAAACTTCCTGGAGAGGAGCAGGGCCTTATGACGAGGTTATCTAACAAGATTTTCAAGGTAAAACTCAAAATTTGCAGCTGAAACAGGAAAATGCATGAATGCCGCCAAAAATGTGTGTGTATTTTATTTCTTGTTATATTTTTTATGAGAAAATAATACCACATGGTAAAAAGCTCCAAAAGTGGATTTTCCATGATATGGCCCCTTTAATTCTGAGACAACTTTATAACTTAAAAAGCTAGAATGTCTCTGATTCTGGAGTTTCTTGTAGGACAACGCTGTCAGTGGTTTTCACTTGGTTAGCTAACCAGCCAACAACTTACAGCTAGCATCTGAGTAAACAAGCTACACAGAGCTGATGTAAACAGGAGAAAAGCACACGTCACTGTTATGGACAGTTTCTGAAATATCACTATCTTACCAGCTCAAAGATGTTACTTGTGTTTTTCTGAACCTTGTTTTTCTTCGCTTTTCGACTGTTGTTATTAATGTTAGAAGTGGAAACATTAGCCGACTCGTGTGGCACTTCCTCGGTTTCGACTTCAGCCTGCTCCTCCGGGCTCTCTCCCAGATCCCCCAGGTCCAAGGCCTCCTGACCCCGCTGCTTCCCTCTGAGCCTCCGCAGAGCCCGGGTTGACATTCTGAACTGTTTAAAACTCACCCTAAATTCAGTAGTTTGATTAAAATCGTACCTTTGGTGACTGAAAGCCAACACTGAATGAGATTATAGAAAAAATGTCTGAATTTTCTTCTTCGTGTACTGTTGTTTCTTCTTCTTTTGAAAAATTACCTCCTAGACCTTCTACACTGCCCCCTGGAGGCTAAAATAAATAGTACCAAAATAAATGGTATGCTGCAGCTGTTGACTCCGATTTTGTAATTAGTGGGTATTCTTCTTTGTTTTTTATATTACCAATAAAATGGGAAAACTCTCGTGCACAAATGTGAAATATTCCACATTTTTCTATTCTATACTTTATTTTGCTATTTTAGACAGACAGAGAAACACAAATACCTTTTAATAAACAGATTATATATATATATATATATATATATATATATATATATATATATATATATATATATATATATATATATATATATATATATATATATATATATATATATATATATATATAGTGTGCATGTTCATATATGAATATGCACACCACCATGATGAAAACTATAATGCTTGTTCAGTACATGCATATTAAGGTAACTATGGTCAAATATTGAAGACAATCAAATTATAAACTAAAAATGTAAACATAACACATAAACAAAGACCATGTAAATAAAAGAAGTGATGCCAAATCATCAAAACAACATATGCCAATTACAAAACAGGCAAAACCATAAGGACATGCTTTCAGTTAAAGACCAAAACTGTGTTTGGAACATGTAGTATAGATATGTTTGCCTACAAACATTCTGATAAAATAGCTTTTAAAACATGCATACGTTTGAATGACTGATATAAGAAATAAGTCATATTGTCTTGTGTTTGTGGACAGATTTATTCTGAATGAAATCTACTTTATAAACTACTTTGTTCCACCAAACTTTTACTTTAACAGTCTTACACAACACTTCCTGCTCACCAACTGTCATCAAAATATTGTATGTGACTAGTTCCTTGTGCTTAGAATAACAGTTGGGGAAAACACAGGAAAATGAACTCAGACTGTATAAAATGTTATACGTGTTGCAAACTACTTACAATTCTTGTATTTTAGTGCTAGGTCTCATACCACCCCAGGTTGATTAAGGAAGCACCTGTTATTTCCCAACAGGCTGTAATTGCTTGACTAATCAGCTGTGACTACAAAACCCAGAAACAAATAACTTTAAGACTCAAGAAATGGAGATTGAGCTGCTGAACCTGTTTGACTTGAAGACATATAAATACATACAACATTTTTTCCCTCAAAGGAAACTTATGAAAACAAAGCCAAGGAGAAGAAAACAGGCCCGAGAGGAGAAAGGGAAATTCTGAGTTACTGAAATACTGTTTTTGCCAAAGGGGGAAGTTGCAAATGTCGCTTCTTTAACAATTTCAAAAAGGGGAAAATAATATCACTAACCTCCAGAAGATGATTCAAAGAAAGCAGATGATTTATTTACAATGCAACTATGATTACTACAACCCTAGCTAGCAACACGTATTTTTAAATGTTAGTAGCAGCTGGATGCAGCCAAAAATAAATGTATGCATTTATTCTGATACAACTGAACAGTGATTCAGTGTTTTCAAGGGAAGCGCAAACATACAGATCAAGTACATGTTAAGTTGTAAGATGCATGAATGATCTTAAAAACTTACTTGACTGGGAAAAATACAGAAACAGGGTTTAACATTCACGTTTACCATAATGTCAAAATACAAAGAAAACTCAGAATTTGTTCATTTTACCTTTTGACATTTTGCGTAATGGAATTTTTTCTTCCACAAAAGAGAGAAAAAATAACTTTTTTTTCTGAAAAAAATGTAACATTTTGCTCATTAACTGGCTCCGTTCAAAAGACTTCAGAAAAACTGTTCATGTATGGCCACTGAATCTGGTGGGACCGGTTTGTTGGACATAAATGATGGAGCTGCTGAGCGGCTCGCTAATCGTCAGTAACAGAGGAAGGGTTGTCGTATGCTGCTCCCTCCAGGTCCTTGGCTTGTTTCCTGCGAGTTTCTGGTGGAGGTCTTGGCGGTGGATTCTGGGGAGGATTCTTGATACTTTCGGCAACTGGCTTTCGCACATCCTTACGAGGAAGAATGGGCTCCCAGTGCTCACCTCGGATCGCTGCCTGGAAGACAAGAAAGTGTCTGTAATGGGTGGATGTTATCCATCCTGTTTAATGAGCCCCTTGTATGCAAAGTTGTTTAATGCTCACATTTGTGTGCCAATTTGAGATAAACAAAGCCAGATATGTTATTTTTCTTTAAAGTAGATGATGAGGAATTCAGGCACACCCCTGACTGGTAGCGTTTCAAAACTACAGGGACATGTCTCAACTGAGGAACAAGTGCAACACATTCTCTTCCTCGTTCACCATTTCCTTTCTCGATGCTTATCAAAGTTCACGGTAATTAAAAAGCTTAACGGGAAAAATAAATCCTCATCAAGCCTCCAACTTACTGCAAGGTAGATGAGGCTGGCGATGCCGAGGCAGACACACCCGAGCACAGTTGCTAGCATAAACCCTCCAGGTACACAGATTCTTAAAAATACAATGGAGATGATGGAGTGTAAGTCAAACGGCCATGATGTTCTAAGGGTTTTGTTCAAGAGACTGGCGAGGAATGTTGTCTAGCCAAAGGAAGATGGTTAAGATAACAAAGTCAATCAAGCAAATTGTTTAGGCTGAGTTCACACTTACGCAGCGTGCAGGAACGCTCTAACATAGTAGTTCCTCGTTAGTGGTCCGAAGGCTTTGACACACACTGTGAAGCAGTATTGGCCCCTGATAGAACACAATAATCGTAATAATGTGCAGTAAAGACAGAACTTCACAAACACATATTTGCAGAAAAAAAACAACAACATTGCTTACGATCTTTCCACACTTGTCCCTTTGGCCCGCTTGCTTCTGGGATACTCAAGAAGACACACAAACACTCCAGCGGCACTTGTTACTGGTTAAGGATGCTACTTCCACCATTTTACAGATTTTAGCAAAAAATGCCAAATGGGCCATCAGTGTGATTAAAAAACCATTCAAATGATCACGATCAGCCTTTCTTATAAATGAACATTTAATCACTCTGTTTTTTTATTCAGTAAGAAGTTAAAATCACATGAAAGAAGTTTATGCAGAATTTTGGTAGAAATGAGTTTCATGAGTGAATAATAAGTTTTAACAGGACGTCTAAAAATGAGATTAAGTGAATGTTCCCATCAACGAAAAAAACTTAGTTTTGGACAGTCTAAATTGAACAATAGCCCTTAACTGGTGTGGTGTAATCTGAAAAAGTTTCTATGAAAGGTTCTAAGAAAAGAAAAAAAGTACAGTGTTCTTATATGCCGTAAACGTTCTTGTAAGTTTGATGTTTCAGCGAAAGGAGGATGTGGTGTAATCTGTTTGAGTGTAACTGGGTTTTATGGTGAAGGGGGAGAGAGGGGAAGTGATTCAATAAAAGTCGGAGTTTGGGTGCTCGACAAGGTGTCACTGGAATCCTTGATAAAAACACGACAACTGGAATAAAGAAGTACTCTTGCATTTATCATAAGGAAACACCAGCTGTAGAAACAAGAGTTGTACAAAAATCTAATTTTTTTAAATATTTGTAACCACGACAGCAACAATATACAGGAAAGTGTTCAATAAATAAAAAATAAATGAATATTTTATACATATTTGCCCATCGTGTTAAGCTGCTGTTTTGTGTCATTTTAGACCTAATTGTGCACTCAGGTATTGGATAAACTATTATAACTATGATACTACACTAATAAATATAATTTGATTTGCCCCGCCAAAGCAGCTTTTGCAAATCAAATCTATTAAGCCTGATAGGTAATTACACAGCTTTAACTTCCCAATAGCAGCAGAATAAATGAAATAAAAACAGTGCTATTTAAAGACTCGCCTGAACAGGTTTGGTTTATTTCATTATAAAGGATACACCGCATAAGCAGCAAACTCCCAGCCTCTGAACTGCCCTGCAACCCCCACTATTCCTCCAGCAAGAAGAACTGAAAGAAGGAAACAGGAAGGTGAAAATCTAACAATATACCTTTTGTCACTCCATGCAATGAGACAAGCCAATGTGCAACTGGACAACGATTTACAACAAATCGTTTTACAGGAAAGCAAAGATTTATTTTATAAATTAAAAAACTGCTGTTTTAAATATATTATTAAAATAAAAGAAAACGTGAAAATAAACTTTTTTCTTCTTCTTCACTTCAGAGGAAGTTATTAAAATACTCACTGAGTCCCGAAGCCAGAGCCTGCTCATTGGCCCACATGGCCCACTCTATCTTCCCCATCGTGTCCACCTGCGAGCAGAGCTGTTATCTCTACAAGGACGAAATGTGTTTACGTGAGGTGCTGAACAGATGCTGGGAGGAGGCTGGCCTCTCGTTTCAGTCGTCATTTCCGATAAATAGTACAGGAGTGTCGAGAGGAGGGGTTAATTTTATCCAACTTCCCGGACAGGTGCGACGAAAGGCCGAAAAAAATACGGACGTACTTGAACGCAGCACATTGCACTCTGTCAGTGTGGGTTTTGTTCTTTTAAACAAATACATTGTATCGTTTTTGTTTTCAATGATTTTACTTTTAGCGTAGTATTTTTACCTGTTGTTAAATTTGTCATTCCCATCGTTTTCTACACCTGTTTTTTTCCACAGTAGGATCTCCAGGGGGAAGGAGGTGGGGGAGACACCCTGGACAGGTCACCAGCGATGGTTTTTCAGCCATCACTGGGACACACAGAACCAGCCACACAATGATCCACATCTAGGAACAATTAATGGCTGTCAATTAAACTGACATGCACTCCACACAGAAAGGCTTCAACTGGGATTCGAACCTGTGACCTACTTGCAGAAATGTACCAGTGTTGTCACCCTCATACCGCCCCACCTCCTTGAACAATACTCAAATAAAAAAAAAGCAGTGTTGCAAACACATTACAGTAGCAACAGCAATAAAAAATAAGACAACCTGATAACATTCAGACTAAAATACATTTTACTGACGTTTCATTAACAAACCTGATGCAACAAAGATTGCACTTTGGACAGGCTCGGTCCAAGGCATATGCAAACTATGATACAAACTAAGCGACTTCTTTGGTCCCCCACATCACCAGGGGGCCCCCAAGAGCATCAAGATGACACAAGTAAAAATGTTTTAATAAATTTAAATACCAACTAAATAATATTCCACATGAAAAAATAACACACAATGTATCTGTATTATTTTCTGTTGTGTCATTTGGTTTTATTTTGTAGTGCAGCACTCTTTACAAATTTTAAGAACAAAAGATAGTAAACCTAAAATTTTTACTGTGAATTCAGTGTTTGTCTGCCGATGTTTCTATTGCTGAATTAATATACCACACTTAAATAACAATCTTCATTTAAAAAGGCTAATTAATTAGAGCATTTTTGGTGGTTTTCTGCTCTGATAAACTTAAAATCAATATACACAATAACACAGGTTTGATGTAAGCCAGTTACAAAATATGCTAATAATAGTGGGCATGTTATAATGGTGCAGCTTGGGAATGATGAATCATCTAGTGTAGACTTGTTGGTGTGGAGGGTCCCCAAGAGAAACCAGTTTAGGGCCCCACAAAGGCTTGGGCCGGCCTGACTTTGATCTAAAAGACTGATTTGTTACATTTTTAAATTCAATAATAAGGTTCCATCACTGCTCGTGAACTTGTTTCCTCAGGAGTCTCACAAAGCTTTCTTAGGGAATCCATCAGGTGAGAGCAGGTGCTGAGAGGAATCCTCGATGATACAAGGACCTGGTCCAGCCTGAAAAGAATCACAAGATAAGATAAAGTCATTAGATCAGTCATTCTCTGTTGGTTACATGTTGATTTCTGAGTATCTGTGAACCTTTGTACTGATGATGTAGTTTATCCCATTTGGTGTGGGCTCCAGACCAATGGCCTCTTTCAGCTCCTCAGAGATAGCAGCACCTTTGACTGGAAGACCTTTAATAAAGCTGAAGATAAACAGACGTGTGAAAGCTCTCTTCTACCACTTAACATTCAGCAGTTCCTTGGAAAGTTTGCCTTTTAGACTTTTATTGTGAATTTTCCCACATGGATCCAGCTATTTATCAAATTCCCTGATCAGATGACAAGAACTACCTGTTGTTCACCAGAGACTGTGCAAATAATCTTTGGTTTCACCCGACCAATAATAAATATATTATTCTCAGCAAAGCCCTGCAAAGTGAAAAATGTGCAGCTCCTTTCTGGCTCTTTAATAAAATGTTGAGTTAGGTCCTACCAGCTTGCGTGGGGTGAAGATATTTGATTGTTTAAGTTGTTAATTTTAACTAGAGGCCGGCCGATGTGTTCTTTTTAAGGCAGATACCGACACCGAGTTTTAAAGAATTTTGTTGCCGATGGCCAATATCTAAAGCCGATTATTAAGGCTGTTATTTACACGTTTTAGCAGCACATTGGTTGTGAAAGACAACTGAACTCTCACTGTGTGCAATATAAATGAAATAAGTCAATACATTTAATATTTATTGAACTTCAAATATAAAACAAACTCAAAACATTAAAAAAACGGTGTTGGAGGTCTTTTAGGCCTTTTCTTCAGTCTTGTAATGGTAGCAGTTGGCCACATAGGTGTCTGATTTTTTTTAATCTGCTTTTTAAAATAACTTTGGCCGATGGCTGATACAGAAAAATTTGAATATATCAGCCGGCCTCTAATTTTAATCAAATGGGTCTAGTTTAATTCTAATTTGCACAGATATGTGTTTGAGCCACAGAAAAAAATCTGAGCATGATAAACATGGATCCTGGCCGCTTTCCTGGACAAAACTGGTCTTTCGGTATCGCTCAGTCTTACCTAAACAATCTCATCTTATTGGACTGAGGTCATGACTTTTTTCCTGGCATGAACAGTCTATAAAAACAGGCTCACATTCTTCGAATCATTGACCATATAATTCAATTTAGTAATATTCTTTAGTTCAAATGAGAAAAAACTTGAGCTGAATGCATTCTGAATCCACTCTTAACGATAGGTATGGCAAACTAATTAGTTTCATGGGGAAAAAATCTGAAAAAGAAGACTAACAAACAAGTTTCTGGATTTAGCGTACTCTTCTCCGTTCGTATCTGGGGGGAAGAAATGTTGAACCACCCGGACAAACTCTGGAACGTGCTGCTGTAAGGTGAAGATCACCGCGTTGGGCCCGGCATCAAAACTGTAGGCCACCTATCAGAAAGAAAACAGAGTGTGGCAGTCATCTCAAGAGATTAACTTTCTTGTTCCTCATTCTAAAAAAAAACTACCTCAGAAGGTTTCACATCTTTGTTATAAAATCTGAGAAATTCAGCTGCAGGGATGTGTATTTTTGAAATTCTGGCGATACGATACATATCACAATACAGGGGAGACGATACGATATATCACAATACAGGGGAGACGATACGATATATCACGATATATTGCAATACATTCAGTCAGATGTTACAAGCAATTTTTTAAACCAAATTTATTGTAAGAATGTTCAATAAACAGTCCAAACTGATACGTAACATGTTTAACATGAGGTATCTGAACCATGATGGAGGCATTTACATTTCATTGGTGGAAACAAAACCCGTTGCCAACTAGCAGGTGACGATTAAATTGCACAAAACGAAAAGAAAATACACAAAAGTTTGCATGTAAATTCTTTCAAAAATTAGATACACGGCTTTTGAATATCGATGTAATAATCACAGGAAAAAATATCACGATATATTGCCATATTGATATTTCTGATACACGGCTTTTGAATAACGATATAATATTGATGGAAAAATATCACGATATATTGCCATATCGACATTTTCTTACATCCCTACTCAGCTGCAAGAAATTAGGCAAATTAGTGTTGAGAAAAAAAAACTATTAATGATGATGAGAAAGTTTAGAAAGTCAAAGAATTTATGAGTTTATTGAGATAATTTAAAAATTCTAATGTTTCACTGACCTGAGTAAGATTCTAATTTTTAAGACTTTTTCAAAAACATTTTTGATTTATTTTCTTGCTTTCATTGATCCATATTGGGATTTTCCCCCTCATTTGCATGCATATCAAAGTCTTAATCCATCAATAAACATTTTTGCTGTCGCTGCAGAATAGTGTAGAACTGCTCACCCTGCTCTCCCTGTAATGTCCGTTATAACGATGCACCAAGTGGATGATCTGTTGTGAAACACTGTTGAGGTAGAAGATAGGAGGGTATGTGTCCAGGCATGTGGCGTGAAACTGGTTGCTGTCCTTCATGGTGATCTCAGCAAATGCAGCGAAGTCCCTTTTTTGCACTGCTTTGATCATCTTGTCCATTCGATGAGGGACGACAGACTCTGCTCGGTGCTGCACACAAACACAAGAAGGGTGTGCAAACTGCCGTCTAGATTTCTTGAAATCCAGCTAAGAGATTAATTACATTACCTTTAATAGAACACTTGTTTGCACACTGGTTTGCATCCCAGAGGTGCTGCCTATCGGCTTCCTCTTGGCACTGGCCTTTGGAAAAGTGCATCAAATAAATGATAAAATTCAACATTTGTCTTTTAAGCACAGGTAAAAACAGTTTCTCTGTATGCACAAACACACCAAAACAACATTCTCTCACTGCTGGTTTTATCCACATTTAGTTTGACCCACCACTAGTACCAGGATCCTGAGCTCAGGCCAGTGACTCTCTGGCTCCACCTGCTGGGCAATGCTGTCCTTCCCATCGTCTCTGTTTCCCATGATCCACTGAACAAATCCACCATACATGCTTCTGCAAGCACTGCCTGAGCCTTGCCGAGCAATCCCTGACAAATCTCCTTCTACACCAAACGCCTGAGCCAAACTATAAACTACAACCAAAGAGAAAATTATTAAAACAGCAAAAGTAACACGTATCTGATCTAAAATAAATAGCACATTAGATGGATAAATGAACATTTTTTTCACCTAAATAAAATAACACTAAAAACCATCTCCCCATTTAAGCACGGGCTGGAAAAGATAACATATTATTATTTTCTTCCTCACCGAGACACGCAAATCCAGCAGCTGAAGAGGCGAGTCCTGCAGCAGTTGGGAAGTTATTAACGGAGCAAATATGGACTTTGTGAGACAACCCCGTTGATTCAGTGGAATCAGGTTCTCCATCGTTGCGTCTCTTCCGTGCTAATCGTCTAACTGAATAGAAAATAAATAAAAACAGAAAAATGTGATTGTGGAGTCTTTTTTATTTTACTTGCAATTTCTGTCCTGGTAATCTTTTTTTTTTAAGATGGAGGAAAAACAAAATTGATACAACTCACTCTCTCTCAGACAGGATTGTAGTCTTGGATGTGTTATGTCCTCTTCTTTCCCATTAAGCCACATTCTATCCACCTTAAACGACGTGCTGATTGCAACGGTTGTGGTTGTTTTCAGCTGCACGGATAAAGTCATAAACGCAGGTCTATAACAAACTAGGAAGTAAAATGTCACATTTGATTGTAAATCGTGCGAATGCACATCCAAATCATAATCCCAAACATTAAGGTCATTGTTTATCACGTTATCTCATATTTTTAAAAGCATGTCTGTTGTTTGTATGCAGCTTTTGTATAAACATGACACATACATCGACAGTAGGTTATAGCTTTAAGATGTTAGTAATACTACAGAGGCTATTAATAATTTCTAAGCAATTATGCTGTAAAGAAAGACTCTTATATGAAAAGATCAAGCAGCAGGAATGTACAACAACAGCATAAAGAATCAGAAGCAGAACATGCTGAAGAAAGATGCTTCATTTACAGACCTGATCTTGATGTAGCGTGACGCTCAGTGATGAGCTGATGGGTAGAATTAAATCTTCATCCCGCTTCCCCCCTGAAAAACCAACATGACCAAGTGTTAAGCAGCGTTATTAGACTGTTACACAAAAATAATGAAAACACACTTGAAAAAATGTAATTTATCTAATGGACAACACAGAAGTCGGCTTTAAACACAACCTAAAATATATAGCACTACGTTTTTAGACCAAACAGAACACCTAAGCTAACGTAAACACAAATCGTGACGATACTTACAGTATTTAACGACAGCAATATTCACAGGAGCGGTGCATGTGACTATATGCGGTCTGCTCGTGGTTTCTTCGGGCATTATTCTGTTTTTAAACTAAGACCGTGGCGCTAAACCCAAAACTTTAAACTCTTCTTACCAATGTCCTTCATGTGTCTAGCAGTTTGTCTGAGAAGCTAAGTCAGCCTCAGTCTGATTGGCTCGAGATGAACATGTGGTTATTACACCGACCAATCAGAAGCGAGCTTGTTCGACGCAAAAAGATGACGAGCCAATAAAAACTATCTGACCATGCTCGTGCCTTAGTGGGGCAATGACAAGCACCAACCCACCTGACTTATTACAATAAATATAATGAAAATATTTATTTTAAAAAATCCTATTATTGAAAGTGGAAAGAAAATAATTCTGAAAGGCAAAAAATAAAAAATTATATATATATATATATATATATATATATATATATATATATATATATATATATATATATATATATATATACATGCACACACACTCAACAAGCAAACATTGTTTTTGTTGCACTTACAATAATTTGATTTTGTTCATTATTAAATTAAAATATGATGCATGATAAAACAAAAATAAGCACACAAAACAGTAATTTGAGGAAATTATGATATAGGAATTGGTGGCGTGGTGACGATTCAGGTATATATTGCAGACTTTTAAGCTTTTTATTGGAAGGACTTTAACATATCCTTGTTCAAAATGTTTGCTAAATTACTCAACATGTGGTTCAGTCCCCCTATACCAACAGACTTTTTACTGGATTCCATTATAAATAATACAATAAATTAGAATTATTGTCATAAAAAAAGTAAATCCCTATAATGTCCTTTTTTAGGAAAATGACACATTTGGCTCTTTGTGTACTCTTGAGTAAAAAAGAAAAACTAACTAAGTTTTCAGGATGCAAGTACTCTAACTACACTGAACACATGCTACGTTGCATAAAATCTCACACGAACCACGATCACAAATAATTAACAAATGATGTGCCAATAAAGCAAAATTTTGAGTTTAAGGCTTTTTATTTAAATTTTTATGTAAACTTTGCAAATATATGTCAGCAACAAGAACATTACTAAGAACTTAATGAGTGCTACTGTTGCAATGGCTCTGTAAAAAAACACGGGTTGAATTTGCAGAATATTCTAGATAAAATTAATCTGCAGCAGTATGTTTTGCATTTTGTGTTACATTTTTCATGTTTGAAAAACTAACTACAACCGTATTGACAAAAGGAAAGTAACATGAAAGGACTGGAGGAGTCACACAGTGTCAGCAGTTATCATTGGTACAACACAAGTCGCAAAGATCTGCAGTAGCTTGAAGAAAAAAAAATCCAAATTGCAAACCTTCTTGTACACTGTGTGCTTTCTAAAAACCACCAGACACCAACATATTAAGCAAATGTCCTTGTTCTTCTGTCTTGGTGTGTTCATTCCAAACATGATGTAGAAGTTAATGTGGCATCCCAGGAATTTCATAAGAAAACGCAAGTCAGAGTCCAGCACGCAAAACCTGAACTTTTGGCTCATTCCAGGGTTTCTGTTTGAAGTTAGAAATCATCTTCATCATCTGAATCCATCACCCTCCGTCTGTTGAACTGTCAGCCAGATACAAAGGAGATGCGATAAACAAAATGGACAACAGACTGCAAATAAATCACCGGGACACTTTGTGGAACTTACTGTAACAGTGGTCTTCTTCTCCGTTTGATGACTGACTTTTTCTAGGATCTCGATTAAGCCCGACTCTGAAATCTGACAGAGAAATCTGAGTTAACTGTTTGCAAGTGAAAAGAAAAAAAAAATCTCAATAACACACAAGCCTCTTTATTTCACCTTTCCTCCCAACTGTCCAAAACGAGCCATCTGAATAAGATAGTTTTCAACTGCTTTGGCCTTGTCTGGTTTCACTAATGCAAGATTGCTCACTGAAACAAAACAAAGTAGAAGAGCATCCTTCACATCTCAGGGGAAAACTTGGTAAAATAATACAGAAGCAAATCATAAAAACTGAGCGTACTTACACCTTGCACGTGCTGACTGGTCTAGGACTTGTGCCAATATTGAGTTCCTCATTTCTGTTTCTCTGTTAAATAAATAAAAAAGAGAAAATAAAGATTATTCCACAGAATAAATAAAAAAACACACTTTCACCTAAATATCAAGCTAGCACAGCACCTGTTTGGTGCAGAACAGCTTTTAATTTAATGCATTGATGTTCTGTTTAGGAGTGAATTTTTAGTACTGAAATGTATTCAAGTAATGAAATGTACAATTCAGTCTTTTTCTAATTATAAAACTAACCTTTGTTTGGCTTCCTCTCCTTGTTGGTTATTTGAAGCATCCTGTAAGAAGTTTAGACATCAGAATCACATATAGAATATGTTTTACTGAACAAAGAGTATGGTGTTTGACCATATTTTGCTTGTTTATAGTTGTTTTTGTTTATAGTGCAGCCAGCTGTCTTGCTAAAGACAATAATTAAATAAATTAATTAATTAATGCACAATCAATAAAAACAACTCTTAGAGCTATTTTTAATAACAATGACAACTGGATAAGTTTGATTCGATTGAATGAAATCATTGGTCATACTTTTTTTGAGAACCCGATTTGCTGAAGTTGCTTTTTCTAAAATGTCTTCATCCCCCAAAATCAAATACCTCTATGAACTTCTATTTTACCATAAACTATTCTCTTTTCTACTGTGAGCTGCACTGTTGTGCTTTTATAAGAATAACAATACCTTTATTAGTCCCTCAGTGGGGAAATTGCAATATTGCAATGGCTCAGGTACAGCAGGATAGCAGCAGTAGCACACAACATATCGCACAAGAGTACATAATAAGTTAAGATAATTATTGCACATGGTAATGAGAATAGTAGTTATAATGCACGTTTTGAAAAGATTATATTTGCAGTGGAAGGTGTATGGCTTCTATTAGCAGTGACTATTATAGAGTCTAACAGCAGCAGGGAGGAAAGATCTGCGGTATCTCTCCTTCGTTCAGCGAGGGTGGATCAGTCTGTTGCTGAAGCTGCTCTCCAGAGCAGACGAGGCATCCTGCAGGGGGTGTGACTCATGGTCCAGGATGGATCAGAGTTTTGCCAGCACCCTCTTGTCCCCCACCTCTCGTATTGAGTCTAGAGGACAGCCCAGGACAGAGCTGGACTTCTTTATCAGCCTGGTCAGCTTCTTTCTCTCCCTCTCTGTAATGCTGCTGCTCCAACACACCATACCATACAGGATTGCTGATGCCACCACAGAGTCGTAGAAGGTCTTCAGGAGTGTCCCCGTCACCCCGAAAGACCGTAATCTCTTCAGGAGGTGGAGCCTGTTCTGGCCCTTCCTGTACAGTGCGTCTGTGTTTTGAGACCAGACCAGTTTGTTGTTCAGGTGAACACCCAGGTATCTGTAGAAGTCCACTCTCTCGATGTCCGTTCACCGGATGTTCACCAGTGAGGGGACAGCAGGTCGGCGTCTGCGAGGATCCACCACCATCTCCTTTGTTTTCCCTGCATTGATCAGGAGGTGGTTTTGCTGGCACCGGTCGACGAAGTCCTGCGTCAGTCCTCTGTACTCCACATCGTCGTCCTCGATGATCAGTCCGACAATCGCAGAGTCGTCTAAGAACTTCTGCAGGACACAGCTGTCTGTGTTGTGTCTGAAGTCAGAGGTGTAGAGGGTGAAGAGAAATGGAGCCAGGATAGTCCCCTGGGGCACACCCACACTGCAGGTCAGCAGGTCAGACACACAGTCCCAGGCTCTCATTTATAATTTCAATAGTATGCATAACTACTTCTGAAAAAGACCAATGTTTGTTTGTGCCATTTTTGAAGAAAAATAGCATAAAGTTTCTGCATTTGGGACAGGTAAATCCACTCTGTTTATGATAGAACATGTACATTTATTTAAGGTAATCTACAAATGACAAGCACACAAGTTAAACCACTGAGTTTAAAAATAAACTAGTTAGAGAAAACACTAGTCGGGCTCCTACAGAAGTTATGATGTGGAAACAGAGTTCAAGCATTGAAAGTGAACAAAGAGTGCAGCTGCGGGTGAAAAGGAAGTACAGTGTAGGTGCTGGTCTAGAAGATGATGCTCGCTGTAAAGGTCTTCACTTACTGTTAGGTCATAAATGTTGACATGGGGAAAAATCTTGTATGATTAAATTGTATGTATTTTCTAGCACCAAAATAGATCTTAAAACAATCTCCACGAATATAATTAATATATAAATAATATATATAATTAATAATAATAACAACAATTAGAATAAAGTGATTAGTCTCCTACTTGATGTTAGGGAATCATGAATGAAAATCCGAATAAACTAGACTGTTTGAAGGGTTATCCCAGCAGCTCACTGTGGACTTCTCATCATATTGAAAGAAGTGCTATTTTTAAATCCTGAAAACCGTTTCCAGAACCAGAGGGGTGTGCCATTAGCACTAAGCTAGCAAGTTTGTCATTCTCTCATTTTTACCTAGCTAAAAAAGACTTCGGTGTTTTATTTAGACGCTTAATTCTAATGTGTTATTAAGCCTTTTATAGCCAAAGTACAGATTTACAAACTGGGTTTATGTATTTTGGGTCATCTACAGAAACCAGCGTGTTGAATCCACCATCTCCTTAAAAGGCGGCCGCAAACACTTTAAAGAAGCTCTTGATGAGTCCTTACCCCCTGCTTTGCCTGTAGTTCCGCCATTCTTTGCCGCCTTATCGCTTCCAGTTCTTCGTCTGCCATTGTTTTTTACAGTAACGTGGATGTAAATCTCGCTAGAAAACCGTTCTGGAACACACTGGAGTTCAAGCAGAGACAAGGCCTCTAATAGCACAGGCAAAAGTAATCAACAACGAAAGAAACGATCAAACAAACTTCCAGGGGAGAGTAACAGAGCACAAAACCTGGATCAGCGAACGAACGTTTTTGTTGTTGTTGTTTGCCAGTGCACGATAAAAAATTCATCCAATTGAGCATGGTATTTTACAGAGCCTAATCTTTTGAGATTTTTTTTTAGAAAATGAGACATAACACATTCAAAGAACTTTAAAATACAAATATGTATTTTTATTTCTCTTTTCATATACACAGCCTGTTTGAACCATAGCAACAGAGTTAGTTTCAATACAATTTAAATCGCAGTGTTTGTGTATGATGTGTTTCACACTGTAGGTACATTAAATCCATCCCAAATACACATAGCCATTAAGAGATGAGCTTTTAATTTCATGATCATGATATTTTGAAGTACTTTCTCCAGTTATTGTACTACATGATACATTTTTTAGTCTATATTTTACTTAGAGATATGAGAACTCATCACAGCAGTTCTGAGAAGTGAAGAATGTTTTTGAATGAGAGTTGGAATGTCCAGTCTTTTTAAAATGATTACTCATTGAATTTCTGTGTCTTGGATAAAGAAGAATCTACATCAACGTCAGTTTGATGAGCATTTTAAGTCCAATATTTATCATATTATAGTTAAATTTATGAAATATGACATTTACGAGTAGAAAACACTGAAGACAGCTGCCAGTTATTCTTGCAACACAGCCACATGGTATTTATGGCCATCTATGTTGAAGCTTGCTCCAAACAAGGTCATGTGACAGGAGGGTCTCCTCACACACTTGATCTTTAGCTTCCTCTGTATGTGCTGTAGGAGAAGCGACTCACAAGCAAGGGGACATGGTATTTTTGGTCTGCGTCAGTTATAGTGAAAGCAATCTGAAGAAAACAGAGAAAAACATAACACAAATCTGTTATCATCAGGCTTCACTGAGAGTTTCTAGCTAAAAAAAAATTACAAGGCAGATTAAATTAACAGTGGAGGTTAGAATTAGAACATTTCCTCACCTCTACATAAGGGTAAAATGAACTCTCTCCCATACCTGCCCAATACCGAGCAGTTTCAAAATGCATTTTGTACTCGCCAGGTATAAATTGCTGTTTTGTGATGAGTCCTGGGCATCGTCCATCATCATTAGTGGTACTGGTGAGACAATATATTCGATGAAGATTCTGGTAGTGAAATCATTTCTCATGGTGATGCACTTTGGTGGTTGTTACCCTGTGTTTATCAGTTGCCAGACTTTAGTTACAGAGTCTTGTTGATACAGTTTTATGGTCATGTTTGACCCTGGAACTCCTGCTGCAGTGTTCAGCACGTGTGTGGTCAGAGGACTGGGCGAGCCTGCCATAGTTGTGATCTACACAGCAAGAAATACAGTTTCCATTCATCAGCTGCACTTAATTGTCTTGTATATCAAAATGTGAAAGCAAGCCATTTGGTTAGTTCACACAGTGCTAATCTGTATCACTTATTGTTTTATTGCTGACTTCATCACACGATTATGTGTGCATTTGGGATTTAAAGGTTTAAATGTTACATGAAGTTTTATTTGAAGGGTTTATGAGTTTTCTTAAGGGTTTTCCCACTGAATAAGCAGTGAAACTCAGCCATTTAAAAAGCTTTCACTTTGATTAAGCCAGATGAAATGATGTTTAAATGAAAACACTGAATTCCTTTTTTAATTCTTACTTTCCTTTATAATTCTTTAAATAGTGTTAAACTGAACGTATTCATTTTGATTTAGGAAAAAAGTCTTGAAAGAAAACGGCCAATATAGCTAAAAATTTGACATAATTTAAACAAAGTCTTTGTTTGTATTATTTTAGCTAATAAAAACTCTCTGCTTACCTTGTTTTTAGACAAAATATGTCCCTCCAGCTGCTGCAGCCTGAATGCGCTCATGTTCAATCACTTATAAACGAAATCTAAACTAGGTCAGCAGCTTTTACTGTGAAATGTAATTTTATGGGTTATCAAACAGAATCAGATTTGTACTCACATTACGCCTGTGAAGTTCTGCATGTACGTCTTTTGGTGCCTTCCAGTGCACACACACACATATCTCTTTTGTCAACAGCAAAGCCAGTTGTGTAAGAAGTGATTTTGCCTGTTTTTTTAATGAGCACTTTGGACTTTAGGGACGAGTGATCCGGGTTTTGTAAATTCTTGCCTGAGAGTGTTTGACTGTGCAGCATGACTGTGTTTTTTTTATCTCTGCTGGAGTTTTCTTGGTATTTGTAGGTATTCTAGCTTTATTCAAATGTCAAAGATGTCAGATCTTGTAACCTGTGTATGCTCCATCTTTATCTGACCCAGCTGTTCAGGTCATCTTTAAATATGGGATCTGTAGATATAAAAATAAAATGTGAACATCGTGTCTTTTTATAGTCTGACAGAAAGCATCCGGGCTTCCCTCTGTGAACATGGTTTGCTGACCAACCTAAACCACAATGAAGCTCCCTTCTTTAGGCAGCTTTTCTGTTTGTTTACACTCCAACTGATTAAAATGGGGGATTTTCCACCTAAAGCATGTGGAGGTCCTTTTGTTCTCCTGGTGGACTTATTATCGCCGCCGTAAGGATGTGTATTTTTTTACTCTCATTTATTTCTTGGGAGAAACGACTCTCCAGAGAAGCAGCTGCTGCAGGAGAGGCTGCAGCTGCAAATTCTACTTTTATTCAGACTTTTACAAATTTATTCTAATTTGGTGTCGGTGTAAAGAACTGTCAATTTGGTGAATTATTTGTTGAATATTAACCATTTGTGCTGCTAAGCTTTAACCACAGAGGCAAAGGTATGTTTTTGAAAAATGCAGCAGTCTGGGATCACGTCCATCAAATACACCAACACAGCATGGATTTTACTGGGGAACATCTCTTTGGGATCACGGAAGACTTTTACTAAAACCATCTGAGAAAGATGTTTGGGTTTACAGACACGAGGCCACAGCAGGAGGCTGAATTTGTGTAATCATGAAGATAATCACCAACATTCTTCCTTTTATGTGGCATGAACCCAATAGTACGCCGCCTAAACCATATCTGTGTTCAACATAATCCACTTTAATAAATTATTCTAAGCTGTCACCTTTCATTTCCTTTCTCTGTTCAGCCTTTCACAGTAAAAACACCACAAGGCTTTATTTTATTCTGGATATGAAAAATACTTTTACTACCGTGACAATGAGCATTTTCACTTGGCTTGTCGTAACAGTGCAAACCAAAACATGTAACATCAGAATTATACAATTATTTATAACAGGGTTATTTTCTTTTAAAAAAAATCAACACATGAGAAGTCCTAAAGGAAAATTATATTCAGAGAGATAACAATTACAGTAAAATTATACAATAATAAACAATATTACACATTGACCTGGGCTCTTTGCACATTTGAAGGTGCCAAATATGTAGAGGAAGAGAGCTGTAATGTTTTTTCTAGCATATGGGACTCTTCAGAAATGGAGTAATTTATCTGGTTTTATTTACTGAGAGTGGAAAAGTGAACATGTTCCTTCTTGAATGACAAACAAGATAAAGTTTGAACTCTTAGAAGCAAACAAACCATAAATGTTTTTAATTGATTAAAAAAAACTCACTTGGGGTTTGTTAAATTACTTTGACATAGACAAAGTAGATTCTAAATTCATGTACGTACACAACTCTAGTTAGTTATTAATAAACAGCTCTGAACAGCAAATGCACTTTAGATTCTGCCATTCATCCATAAGCTGAGAGGCCCAGACTTCCCTCCATCCAGCCACTTGAGCCAGCTCTTCCGGGGGAGTCCCAAGGTGTTTCCTGGCAAGCTGAGAGACATAGTCCCTCCAGCGTGTCCTGGGTCTTCCCTAGGTCTCCTCTCGGTTGGACGTGCCCAGAAAACCTCACCAGGGAGGCATCTTAACCAGATGCTTGAGCCACCTCAACTGGCTTCTCTTGATGTGGAGGAGCAGCAAGTCTACTCCTAGCCTCTCCCGGATGACCGAGCTTCTCATCCTATCTCCGAGGGAGAGCCCACACATCCTGCAGACCAAACTAATTTCTGCCGCTTGTATCCATGATCTCATTCTTTTGGTCACTACATAAAGCTCGTGAGTATAGGTGAGGGAACGTAGATCGACCAGTAAATTGAGAGCTTTGCCTTCCGGCTCAGCTCTCTCTACACAGACTGGTACAACGCCCACATCACTGCAGACACAGCACCAATCCGCCTATCGAGCTTGTGCTCCATCGTTCCGTCACTTGTGAACAAGAACCCAAGATACTTAAACTTCTCCACTTTAAGCGGGACCTCCTCCCTGACCTAGAGAAGGCATTCTACCCTTTTCTGATTCAAGATTAGAATCTGCCCATTCAGGAAAAAAATAAGTCTTCATGATGGTGCTTTAGAGTTTTCCATCAAGTTACTTTTATCAGGATTCATAAAAGGCCAATTTTTTATGCATTGTTCAGTATATAAAGCAGAATTCATAATGGTAATAATTACTATCTCAGTGTAGGATCGATTAAAAGACGGAATGTGAAAAATGTAATATTAGTGGGAAGAATTTAAAGATGTTTACAAAAGACCTTTTATTATTTATCTAATTTCCTCTGATATCCTGATTTATATAAGCAGGCAAGATGGTAACACACACACACACACACACACACACACACACACACACACACACACACACACACACACACACACACACACACACACACACACACACACACACACACACACACACACACACACACACACACGAGTGTTGAGCGCATGTGATAACAGAAAATAAACCGAGGAATGTGAGTTCATCACAGCTGACCTTGTCGGTGCAACGCCCAGCATTAATATTCCAAATCAAATGCTTTTCTAAACTCCGTTTGTTGATTCTTTGGAAGAAACATTTGAAGCGGCGTGTTTACGGTTCAGTGCTGGAATATGTTTGTTTGTTATCTGACAGAAACTTGATAAACAGGTAAGCTGACTGTGTTTCTGATTAAATCAGACCTGATTTCCATAATCCTGCAACATTTTGGGCCATTGCTGCTCAAGCGGATCCATTCTTAGAGTAAAATTCATAACATACCTCCTGCTTTAATCTATCGTACAGATATGAACTCCTAAGTTTTCTCTTCAGAAACCTAAAAGAGGATGTATCCGATCTAAATTCTCACAATAAAGCTGCTAGGATACAATAAAACTCATTGTTTCGTTTGATATGCGGCACGTGTTGAGCCTCTGCGGGTTTGTGTTCTCTTCCTCCATGTTTGGCACTTGATCCACGTCTCCCACATCGTCTCATGTTCCTCCTTCATATTTCCTCCTCGGGGTCAGAGCTGTGACTGCTCATCTGTGACAGACAAACAGGCAGGCAGTCAGAGACACGAAGCGCTGAGAGGAAAACAAAGACGAGTTTTATTAACTGCCAGCTCAGGATGACTAAGTGAATTTTTCATTCTGTGAGTGTATAACTTGATTTCACAGCTGCACTGACTTTTTTCAAGTGCTTCAGCTTACAAGATTGAAGTCATCTTTATGCAGGTTTTTATTTTAAGCCAAGAAAATTAGAGAATTTTAAATGCTGCACTTTATATTCTGAAGCAAAATGTAGTATGACTATTTTAAGCACAAATGACCAGAAGACCATCTGATGTTCTTGTAATTTTGAACATTCCAGGAGGAGATCATAACGCACCTTCAGGTCAGGACTCTCCCGGTGGATCCGATGGCGGGAAGTGGGCGGAGAGAGGGATGGGAGGGAATGCTCAGGACTGCTGGCCAACAAAGCATACGATGAGCCGAGTGGACTGTCCTCTCTCAGGGGAGAGTCTGGAACAGAGACACAAACAGGTGTGGCGTTAGCATCTGTGCAGCAATGTGAAGACCATAAACATCGTGCTTACTACACACTGGATGATGGGCAGACCACATGAGTGGATGTGACAGGATGAAGGGCAGATATGGAGGGCAAGAACATTAGGATCAGAGGGAATTAAGGGGATACATTAATGCAATGATGAGAGCTATCAATGGCTCCAGAAGCAGGGAGTGGACCACACGCACTGGTGAGTCTCAAACTGCACACCTCTGTGTGTCCAGTCAGATGTTCTGGTCAGTTCAATCTGGTTAAGTGGGGGAGTAGAGGGAGGTGGAGTGTACAGTCGGTAAAGACGGCTCTCCCTTGCCCTGCCTCCAACATGCCTCCATCTAAATAGGATAGATTATCCAGAGTTATCTCTGTAGTTATGCTGCTATAGGCTTAGACTGCTGGAGGATACAGTGACCACTTTTCACACTCTACTGCTTTATTCTACAATCTGCTCTTTAACTGTATTATTTCCTGCTATTACAGCTGTTAACTTTATTTTCTCTCTAAGTGTTTTTCTCCCCAGAAGAAGCTACAACGATGTTCTGCTGAGCTGTGGTGGCCTCATGGAGGGGGCCATCGTGTAGCGCACCGCTGCTAACCATTCTCCCTCTCCTGATAATAACTTTTTGCTTTCCTTGATGTTGGATGTGCTACTGCTAGTTTACCCGTTTAATTATAGATCCACTAGGATAAATACAATAAAGTTTATCTCACCAAATAGAATATTTACTAAGTCATCACAATATAACTATAGACACATTACTTTGTCTCTGTGTGTGTGTGTGTGTGTGTGTGTGTGTGTGTGTGTGTGTGTGTGTGTGTGTGTGTGTGTGTGTGTGTGTGTGCTCTGTCTTCTCGATCCCCAGTGAGTCGTGGAAGATGGCTGCTTATACTGAGCCAGGATTCTCTGGAGGTTTCTTCCTGTTAAAAGGGAGTTTTCCTCTCCACTGTTGCTTTATGCTTGCTTAGTATGAGGATTGCTGTATAGTCACTGACTAAGGCTTGATGCAATTTGCTGGGTTCCTTATATAGGAAACATTATTTCTGATTGGCTTAATGAACTGACCTGTATTGGAATGTTTATTATGTGAAGTGCCTTGAGACGACTCTTGTCGTGATTTGGTGCTATATAAATAAACTTGAATTGAATTCAATGTTATGATGGGAACTTCAAGGTGAAAGCGCTCTCTTTAATCAAGAAAATGTTAATGAATCCATAGGTGATTGGCTCTTAGGTTGGATTTCACCAGTTGTGTGGTGTTTATTGTATTTTAGTTTATAATTGGCTTAATTAAAGCTGCAGTTATATCCAACAGGGTAACAAGGTTTTGGTAACAAGGTTTTATCACCAGAGCTCTAATGATGCAACTACAGAAAAAATGTCCACAAGAGGGCAGCAAAATCTCTCCCCCTGTAGAGTTTATTGCAATCATCTGAATTCTTCTTGGAATGTAATATGTTACATATTTGGTGCAAAACTCTTTCTGCAGGAACATGCTTCTTCAGTGAAGCACAAGTGACTCCATCCTTTGTATCACATTCTGTCTTTGGACTCGGTTTTCTGCAGCAAACTAAATAAATTTGATTGTGAGTGGAGCAGCAAACCAAGCAGAAACCTGGAGGTATCGCGGTGCTTTGGATTGAAAACGATTGTGATGCGCTGATAGATTATCTATCATTTGATCACCAAGCAGTGTGCCTCCACTGTCTCCCTGAATGAACGTCTCACCTTTGTCGTCATTCCTCTGTGTGTCCATCCTGTCAAGAGTGTCAAGCAGCCCATCGATCTGTGTCTTTATCAGAGTCAGCTCCTTTTTAATCACCTGCAACTCCTCCAAACCCACTGTAAAGAGAGAGGGGATGGAAATGACCGAGGAAGCTACTGAACCTGAAATACCTGCTGGCAGGGCTTCAAGTGTAGCCGATATGTGGGGTGGAAAAACGACTCCCAGTGAGAACTTTATTTAGAGGAAGAGCTAAACGCTTTGCAGGCACACACACACGCACGCACGCACACGCACGCACGCACACACACACACACACCGTTTTTAGTGGTTTCTGCTTCACCCCACCTGCTTTAAATCAATAGGTGACTATCGGGCACAACACGAGGACATGCTGAAGAAATCATCCAACCGTGGAATCAAAGAAAGCATACCTCCATTTGATATCGTTGGTATAGTTTTTACTTCCACCAGAGCTTCAAATTTGTAAAACAAGGGACTTTTCTTTTTTATAACAGATAACGGATTTCCACAAAATAAAACCCATCTTCTTGGAAGCTGGGGCTGTTTTTCATTTGATTTCTGTTTTTGTCTAATCAAAGATTTAGTTAGCTTTATACCTTACATAAACTACAAGTGTGTCAGGAAAAGTGTGTCATTGCTTTCACAGGGTATCTGTAGGATTAAAGGAGCCAAATTTAAGACTTTTTAAGACATTTTTTAAGGCCACTTTGACCAAATTTAAGCTATTTTTTAAATTAAATTTAAGCTATAATTTCCAGCTATTTTCTGGAACCGGTGCTAACCACGTCGTGAACGTGGGATTAACCATCCAGTTACCATTAATGTTGCACTTCCCCATGGCGCAAACTCCCACTAGCATGCTCATCTAATAATAGCCCCCTTTCACAACCAACCAAATGTGTACGGTTCCGCTTACGCCAATATCGTACACAAAACATGCTGAACTAACTAGAAATTCATGAAAATTTTATAGAAATAAAATAATCTTGTTTATTGGGCCTTTGGTAATTTAAGACCTTTGGAAACTATTTAAGGATTATTTGTCATTTTTAAGGATTTTTAAGGCCTTAAATTTGGAAAAGCAAATTTAAGACTTTTTAAGACTTTTTAAGGACCTGCAGATACCCTGTTTCAGAAAACATTGAAAACACTCATTTATGCAACTTCAATCAACAGAGAAAACACACTGCAGCTCCAAAATGAATGAAGAGAATCAGCTCTAACATGGAGAATTTAACAGCAACTAAACTAGAATATCTTCTCTAGTTAAAAATACATTTTAACTACAGCAGCTCACGCAAAATTTATCAAATTAAACACTAAGACCAGGAGGGCAATCATGTATTATACCAATATTTTGGATGAAAACAGTAGAAACCTGCAGCATAGAGTAATAAACACAACAGATGATATTTTACATAATGTTCTGAGCCTTAAGTGCAATCTAAGTAGCAGCCCTTTATCGTTACTCACACTTGGCTGTGCTTGAAGTGGACTGGGCTCTGGATCTTTTAGAGTAGGTTCTGTCTCGACTGCGTCGGTGCCCACTAGAGTAGGCGGACAAACGGGATCTCTTGGCTGGACTTTGTCCCAGAGGTGGAGGAGAGATGGATGCTGGCACTCGCTGGTAGTCATATGCCCTGCAAATTAGGCAGACACTCGTTTAGAAACAACAGTATAGCGGCCCTGACTGTGTCTTAGTTGTACTTTTAAGGGAAGTTTTCTGTGTTTTTATTAATTAATTAATTTTATTTTTGGCCCAGCGGAGATGGCAGAATAGGGTGAAAATAAGATGATTATTCTGGGAGAAAAAAAAACTGAGCTATCCAAAGTCTTCATATAAAGTTTAAGGCTTTAAAAGTTTCAGCTTAAGATAACAAATTGTAAAGTTTAGAATCCCAATCAGTCAATAAACTTGTGTTCAAATGAAAAAAACTGATACACAAAAACATCTAATCATTAAAAACTGATCAGTAATAATCTTTATTTAGAGTCTATTTTAGGACATCCTCAGGAAAACATCAAAACAGAAGTTAAACCAACAGATTTGGATATCAGGGAAAACATCAGGTATCAGGTAAACATACATTTTTTCTGACCAATTGTCTCTTGATACCTGGTATTTTCTCCCAGGTAACTTCCCACATGATATTGATGCTTTTTCTTCTGACTGATTTCTTTTTTTACTGATAACAAACAATTTTTGGTTTTGACAGTTTTCTTTCCGATACCTGAGTTTGTTTTTTTATTTTTACTCATTCCATCCATCGTCGTCCGCTTATCAGAGCTCATTTTAGATTATTTTTTGTAAAATTTTTAAAACTACTTTGCTCGACAACTCTTTTCCCCTCTACTGATACTGATACGAGGAGTGGTTCACGTGTATAATAAATATATTTGCAGAGGTGTCTAGTAGTCATTCTAGGGGTGGAAAAAACATACCGGTGCACTAAAAGTTGTCCACATCCCACCTGAGCCTCAGATGGCAGGATTTGGAGTCTTATTTCCTGATATTTGGACATCTCGCCCCGGACTGGATAACAGCAACACGATTCTACCACCACGGACTTGCAACGTTGATATTTTGATATCATCTCCACAAATAACACAAGCCTGGAGGAGCTTCTGCTGTGTGGTGAAGTCGCTAATGCTAACGGTTTACTTCTACTAGCCGAGATGTCCCCTGCTATTTCCTGGACTGTAAAACAACAGCCTTCAGAAATAGTCATTAAAAAAAAGGTTTTCAGTGCTCCACACCTTTAATGATTTTTTGGTTTGTCGACTTTTCACCTGATACCTGATGTTGTTTTTTTATGCTGCCTTATAATGTTTTAAACCTGATGCCTTTTCATCTGACAGCTTTATCATTAAAAGTCTGACTTCTGAGGCCATTTGGTCAAAAGTCTGAGGATGTACTCATGAAACCTAAGAACATCCTAAAATTGACATCTCACATTTAGTTGGAGTTTGTTTCATTTTCTAACCTTTTCAAAGAATGTTTTTGTAAAAATATTTTTCTATGAGCATATTAAAGTGAAATACTGAAACGTTGTTTTTCCCTTATTTCATTCAGTAATAAATAAATAAATAAATAAAATACCTACTCTTTACACCTCAAATAAAACATGCCGGCACTTTCGTTTGAAATTTTGAATTACTTTTGTACAAGTCAAAGAAGCAGAGAAATTCAAAATGAAATAGAGAAAGGCAATAAACTCTTTATGTAAAAACGCACATCTTTATTCATTACTTCTTTGTTTTTTATTTTCTAGACGAGTGAAACTGTTTCGCTAGTCTCGCCCCTGCCTCTTCCCTATGGACTGCTCCACGTCTCTATCTGTCACTGAACGTAATTGGTTCTGTCAGGGCCAATCAATAGCTCCCCGCCAGGCTGGTAGTGCTGGAGATGAGGGAGGGGGTGTATCACAGTCAAGCTCTGTAGTGGTTACAGAAATGACGCTTTGTGGCTGGCTGTTTCTGCAGAAATAGAAATATAGTTGGGATAAAAAAAATAAAAAAAGAATAAAAAGAGAGTCCTTGACACTCACTGACCCACTGACCAGGACAAACACAAGATCAAAACCAATAATCACTAAAAACAACCGTAGATTAGATTCATGCACACACTGCCTTCATCGAACACACAGATGACAATGCCAGATGTTGATGAGGTGTATTTGTTGTATTAGGACACCATAAGCGTGTGAGCTTAGAGGATTTGGGTGTTGCCCGTGCAGCGAAACAGCGACCAAAGACTTATAGGAGTTTAAAGTCGTTTAGAGCAGTTTGCAGAGGCAGATACACAATGTGATGTTACACCGACTTTGAAGTGTCATCTGAGAGAATGGAAGCTCAGACAATGAGAGATGGCGGACGAGTGAGGATTACAGAAAAAAAGTGTGTGAATGTGGGAGTGTTTGTCTCTGAGGATTAGACCCCACAAGAAAAGCAGCTTAGTCAGCTAGAGCTGTTATCTGTGGGCTGAAAGACACTTTATGGTTGTGTTCTAACAAGAGGACGGTGGACAAAATACACTCATTTCTCTCTTCTCCATGTACTGACATCAAAACGCACCAATGCAGGCACGCATACGCGCACACACACACACACGCACACGCACACGCACACGCACACGCACACGCACACACACACACACACACACACACACACACACACACACACACACACACACACACACACAAAAACACACACACACACACACACACACACACAAACACACACACACACACACACACACACACACACACACACACACAGCTGTCAGTAGCATTAGCCAGCAGTATGGAGAACAATCATGGAACTGTGTTACAAACAAATTGAAAATCAGTGGTGAGTGTTACCCACCAAATAAAAACTGAAAAATGCACAGCAAGGAAAACCAAATCAAAGCTACTAAAATAAAACACAAAATATGACAGAAAATTATCAGAGCATCTGGGCATCGATGTTTGCAAGAAAGTTGATGAAAAATGATGAACAAAAAATGATGTGTGTGTGTGTGAGCATTATGAATGTGTTGTTTTGTGCCGTGTGGTCGTCTTCTGTTATTCAGATGTGCTGAGAGCAGCGGTTAGGAGTGTGGTGGTGAGGGGTGTGTGTGTGAGGGGGTCCCTCAGCAATTTCAAATGATAATACAGAAGCCACAAAGCTCAGCTTGCTACCTTGTACACCTGACTGCTGAGCTCACAGCGCACGCAGGCACACACACACACACAGACGCGTGTGGCCACACACACACACACACACACATGCACGCATGCACGCACGCACACTCACACACATAACTAACTGCTGAGCTAAGAGTTTTGTCCCAAAACAATAAACCTGATTTCAGTGTGTTTTTGTCTGTCTGTTATCAACCTGTTCAGGCAGCAAGAATGTGTGTGTAGCGGTGAGCTGTCAGGAGACACAAAAAACGTGTTTTGTGACTTGTTGATTCTTTGAACCCACTGTTTTGTTCTTTTTAAACCCTTATGACCAGTAATCTTGCTCTAATTCAATTATTTTATTTTATTCTGTTCTGTTATTCAAAGAAAATTGCTTTCTACAGTATAATCATGCATGCAAGAAGAAATTAGATACTAGTGTTGTGTCTATGCCTAGTTTTAAATGATAAATTACCTACACTTGTATCGCACCTTCAGAGTCAGAGGCCTCCAAAATGCTTTACTCGATTATAAATAATCAGATAGTGCTTTTGTGGGTTTTGAAGCCATGTTCATGAACACAGCTGACAGCAGGATTACGTCTGATTATATGAAAATGTACATTTTTTGAGTGAAAGCAGCAATTTCTTGTATAAACACTATAGAATCCACTTAATCTTATTCCTTCAGCTTCCTGTGACAAACTGTGGTAAGGTGCGTGAGTTTCCCAACAGTACCTGTCATAGTAGTCCTCCTGATAGCTGTCGTAGTCCAGGTCAAGCTCGGATCTGTAAGGGAAATGGAAGGAAGGAAGAAAGAAAACAATATTTTATATAACGCCTCTCAAGATAAAAATCACGAGATGCTTCACAAAAACAAACAAAAAATATTTTAAATATAAAAATTTTTAAAAAACGATTAACAATGTTTTAAAAATGTGAGGAAAGGCAGAGAGAAAATGAATAGGAACAAGGGAAATCAGAGGGAGGCTGAGAAATAACAGCTAAATGTTACTAAAGTGCTTAAAATGTACAAGTTATTGGTGTGGGTTAGAAGAAACAACAGGGAGGAATTCTGTGTTCATGATCTGCAAGGGCACAGAAAAAAACACTAGATTTGTCTGCCGTAGCATCCGGTTTGAAAATCAATTTAAAGCTGCATGAAGCATCATCGTTGGTTCAATCTCAGGTGTCGGCACCAGTTTGCTGGTCTTTAACCCGTGATCTGGTCTGCAGCTGGCTGCAGCTTGGTTGGAACCAGTCTGGTCCAAACCTTCCTGGTTCTTTCCTAGCGGGGGACAGATGCTCTGAGCTTTTGAACTATTTCAACTATGGCAACTCATTTTAACTTTAACATAGCAATGCTTCAATAAAAAATGAGGCAGCGATTCAATTTTACCTTGGTTTATTTATAAAAAGCAGAGGAAAAAGTACAAGCACAAAAACAGGACCCAGACCTCTTCAGATGATCTCTAAAAAGGTGCCGAGGCATCTTTGTCCTCTTATCTGTGTGGATAACAATTCTTATGCTACATAAACAAAATAGGAAAATCATGGCTGTAGCTGTGGCTAGTCTGATTGTGGAATGAGATCAAAGCAATTCCAGCCAGTTTTAACCAGCTTCCTAAAGTCAGATAGAAACCTGGAGCAAAGTGAGCCGGGTCAGATATCACACAAACATTCCAACATGATTGAAACCCAAAGAATAAGAAGTAGGTGAATGATGCTATAGTTGTGGCACACTGATTCACCAGGAGAGAATGGTGGAGAGATGAGTGAAAGTAAGCCACAGAGAGATCCTATTCTGGTGTGTCAGACCTCACCACCCCTCCAAATCCCTCAAACAAGCCTCTAATAATCCCTCCATGTGGCGCGCAGCCCCTCTTTTCCATTTCTGAATCGCTCCCTTTATCAGTTTTTCATTTCTTCCCACGACTGAACTTTGAATAGAAAATTTACTTTACTTAAATTTAATCTATTCATCATACTACTCTGAAATCTCTCTCTCTCTCTCTTTATTTATTTTTTTTACTATTTCTAAAGTCACCTCTCCAGTTATTCACTAAGGAGAGGCTCTCCTTAGTGAATAACTAGCTGAAATGACACAATATAAGAAGAATGTGGTCACTATTTTAGGGGTGAAAATTGATGAAGCCGTTAGATTTGACGCACAAATAAACACGGTTGTTCGAGCATCTTTTTCAATCTGAAACGGTTGTCCAAGATAAAGCCTCTCCTGTCCAGAGTACATCTGAAAACAGTATCGACTACTGCAATGCCTTGTATGCTGGACTGAGTCAAGCTACTACTGCACGACTCCAGCTACTCCAAAACTCTGCTGTGAGATTTGTGACTGGGACCAGAAGGAGAGACCACATCACGCCGTCTCTGCACAGGCTCCTGGTGTTTTACTGGGCAAGATCCTCCTCCATGTGTTCACGGTGCTGCAGGGCAGTGCTCCCCCATATCTTGCTGAACTGTTGCAGCGGCGTGTCCCTGCTCGGGTCCTTTGCTCTGCTGAGCTGGAGTGGCTGGAAGTCCCTCGCTCTAAACTCAGATCAAGGGGGGACCGGGCCTTCTCAGTGATGACCCCTACACTCTGGAATGAGCTTCCTCCGGCAGTGAAACAAGCTCCTTCTCTAAGGGAGTTCGTCTCGCCTGAAAACTCACCGTTATCTACTAGCTTTCCCCCATCATCGTTGACCCTGGCTTTTGTATTTTTACCTTTTGCACTTTATAGCTTTTAATTACTTTTACTTGTACTTTTCTATTTATTTATTTATTTAGTCAGTTTTACTCTTTCATGTACTATGTTGTTTTAATCCTTGTTTTTATGTGCTGTTCAGCACCTTGGGCCTCCGATAAGGTGGTGGCAGGTGCTGACATACATTTCCACATTTGACCCATCCCGTGGGGAGCGATGAGCTGCAGCTGTGGCTGTGCTTGGGAACAATTTGATGGATTAAGCCCCCAATCCAACACCTTAGTGTCAAGCAGGGAGTCATCGGGTCCCATTTTCAAGGTCGTTGGTATGACCCGACCGGGATTTGAACACTAATCTCCCAGTCCCAGGGCGGACAGTCATACCACCAGGCCACTGTTTAAAGAACAATTATTGATATTTGGGACATGAATTTTGGGCAGGACATTTGTGAAGCGACTCTGGCTCTCAGAATGTTTCTCTATCAGTCTCAGGAGTTGGACGAGTCTCCTGGACGTCATCAGCTTCTCTCTAATAATCAAATAATTTAGAACCAATCCCATTAACACACATGAATGTGTGCACATGATCACAGCAAAATAAAGAGCCTAACAGCCTGAGTCTTAGCTGAAGAGTTATTTAGGATCAAACCGTAATCACATTTCCTCCAGCGCTGCTCTCATGGACCCTTCTGTCTCATGCCAGCTGGTTTTCTAAGCTCAGGGGACAGGAAACCTCCAAATAATTTATGACAAGTGCTAGTTTCTGAGCAACACACTTATCAGGAGTGCAAACCATAATTTCAATCTAATCTCAAAACTGCTTCCAAATATTCTACTTAAAAGTAAGAGGCTGTTTTAGCACATTTTATCAAATCACTTGAATAAAATCAAGAAGGCATTTGTGGTGAATCTGTCTTTATGCTGCATCAATAAAACTCGTTCAGCAGCAACTCCTTAACTTCTCAGCCAAATAGACCTTTTATTATTTTATTAAATCACATTTAAGATTTTATTAGTTTGTATTTAACCTAAAGGAGAAGCATGTTGGATTTACTACCACCTACTGACAAAGTTAGACGTTACAACCAGCTGTGATTTCAGCTGCTAATGAAATTACAAATTATTAGATTGTGTAGGAATTATTAGGTTACTAAATGCAAACCTCAGTTTGGAGTTTAATTGGTGTCAAACAACTCCTATGTTTTTCTTCTCTTGTCTTCTCTCCCAACAACTGGGTCAGGAACAATCACAATCTTTTTAGTTTAAATTTTATTTTTTATTTGCAGTTTGCAGTTAAATAAGTTCCTGCTCACTCTCAAAAATACCAAAAATTCTGAGTAAATCATGACAAAAACTATTTAAATGAACTTTCTAACGTTATTCTTATATTAAACTGGGGTTACTAAATAAATCATCACATTGTAAATTATATATGAGTCATAAATTTGCACAAAAACAATAATCAACGTCTCTCAACGCCTGTTAGAAAGAATGCTGTCGCAAAAGCAAAACTTTGCAAGAAATTTAAGCACAGAGGAGATTATTACTGTTATTTAAAATTTGGAATAAATATAATTAATATCAAAATTTGATCACTAAAACATTTAAACGTTACTTTTTCCAAGATCACTAAATACATTTTTTAAATGTGCAAAGGAAAGTTTTTAAGAATCTTTAGAAAAATATGCAAATATCAAAACTTTAGTAAGAATTCAAAATAGATCTTTTTTTTCTAAGACACAATTTAAACAAATTATGCGAAATTCATGCGGATACTTTAAAAATTCAAGTAACCCATAACGCATTGGTGTTTTTCCAGGAATTATGTGGAAACCAGACAGAGTAAAACCTGATTATTAATTTGTGAGATTAACAGATTGTTGTTAAATAACAGTGACTGATCACTAAACGGCGCAACAGAGGGATCATGCAGTTACATCCTTCACCGTGTAAACAGAGGATTAATACAGGAAATCAACCCTGATACAGATGTATGTTGAATAACAAACATTTCATTGTTCGTGATATAATGACTGCTGGGTCATTAAAATGTCGCTGTGGTGCTGTAATGACTTGCCGTCAGTGCTTTTGCGTGATTTAGTGAAGATAAATCTGCGACAGGTAAGTATGGCCCATTTAAACTGCAATTACATGCAAAGAGAGGCGCCGGAGAGAGCCAGAAGAGAGCGCAGCAGATGGACAGCGGGGTTACTAAAGGCTAATTAATTTCTTTTCATAATTTCTCAAGTGCCAGAGCAATCCATTAGACGTGCCTGGCCATAAATCATCTCGGGCTCAGCGTGTCTTTGTGTGTGTTTTGTGCACACTGACAAAAGGAGAGTTGCTTTTGTAAAAAATAATTTAAAAAAAAGGCATCCCAGAGATTTCCTCCAAACCATCCACCAAAAGGCTGGAAAACATCAGCATTTCACAGATTCCGTGCATAAAAAACCTAAACAGCAACAAACTTGGGATAAAGTATTGGTATGTTGTTTGACTCTTTTAGAAACCTGACAGACGCCGCTATTTAAATTTCAGACAGGAAATCAACAAACCAATTTTCCGTTTTTGTTTTCTTGTTGTTGGCCATGACTCCTTCGGTGAACAATCAGTTCTCCTTTGGTATTAGACTTCTACGCAATCAGAACCCCGAAAATACTTATTTATTTTGAAAGTTTGACAGCTAAAATGAAAGATTGAGAACTTATTGTACAAATGAGTGAAGATTTCAGTTGCCTGAGCTAAATATAGACCGCTCACAGTAACAAAACAGATCATTGGCTGAAAATGAGAACAGATAGAGAAAAGGAGAAGACATGTTTGGGTTCCACGTATGACAAAACCTTTAAAAGCTCTCTTAAAAACTCTTCATTTTGTGCATTTCTACTACAAATGCATCATGATCTTGGATTTATATTTGCATTAATAATTAGGTTTAATGATTACCTTTCAGTGATTGAACTGAGTAGAATTAGATGAATGTTTAGAGGGAGAAGTCTTTAAAGTTCTTGAACTGAGTAATTTTTAACACTTGACAGATTACTCTAGTATTCAGTCAGGAGGAATTTGTGCCCCTGGGTGGGGGT